TCACGTTTCATTTTCTGCCTCTGGGGGTTCTGCATTTTCAATCTTTGTGTTCCCTGTTGTCAAGTTGACTTGCCCACACCCACGTCGTAATCCCAGTAGAATGAGTAAAAGAAATATTTATACAAGGCATGATGGAGAAACACCCAGAAGTCCCAAGAAACTTCTTCTTTAGAAAATGACCACTTCGGGCTCCTCGAGCACTGACCTCTGTTGTAAAAGCTAGGAATTTGTGGGATCCTCAATCCCATGCCAGGGATGAGCAGTGGACTTGGTGACAGTGGTTTGATGCGGCTGTGTTAGTCAGTGGCGCTCACTGTGGGAGCAAAATCCTGTTTAAACCCTGCTTGGGAGAAAGTTCCCAATGTTTCATGACCTGAAATGCTGGGAAATACTCTGTCTCTCTTGCCATCAGCCTTCTTGGCAAGGAAGAGAGGGCAGAAGAGAGATTCCTGGCTCTGCCTGGTCTTGGCTTCTTGTTCCATATTTCTTACGTGGTCCTTAGTTTATAGCCCACTGCTAAAATCGCCATTGACTTTCGAAAATTCACAATAATGTCCGTCTGAATTACATAACTGTCGGGCTGTTTACTGTTAGATGGATTTGGTGTTCTAAAGCAATTAGAAGAGTTAACTGCAGAAAACCTCTCATTCAGCAGAGTGATGTTTCAGCCCTTTGATGTTGGCAAAGAAGGATTTTGGGGAAAGGTAGTAGGGGAGAAAGGGACTTATAAAGTGGGTCTAAAGGTTTTCTACCTACCTGAAATGAAGACCTTTTTAATAACTAGTAGTAGTCCCCCATTCCTTGACACACCAAATTAATTCAGTCTTGTCAAATTTACCTGAGAAATTCAAGTCTCTGAATTAGACATTGAAAATTCACTCTTCTGTCTTGCAGATTTCACAGCCTTGCTGGTGGACATCATTGGCAATTCGACCAGCTACCTCACAGAGATTTTTAAGTCCACCTCCATCCTCTCAGGTGTGTTCATCTTGAACATGTCTGGCAAATTTGAGATTTGACGTTTATCCTGGAATCTAATCAGTACAATGTCCTCTCCTCACAGTCCCACAAGACCAGGCTGCCCGGCACCTGGGTGTCATTTCTACCTAGACAACCAGTGTGGACTAGCTTCAATCCTAGGACAATCCAAGCTGTTCCTGGTATCCAAAAACTGAAGAATCCCAGGCTCAAAGTTGGGGGTGGAGGGAATCTAGGCAAACTTAAGATGAAAAAACAGAGATTCAGAGAGGTCGACTATCTGGTTGGTTCAAGACTCACATTTAGGCCATGTGGAGTTGAAGCTAATGTCTGACAAACAATCAAGAAGCATTGTTTGTCATCATCTATAAAGTCTTTCCTATAACCCCAGGCAATTCACCTTGGCCTGGGGCTCAGTTTCAGAAAGAGAGACCTAGGTGCTAGCCCAAGCTGGGAGGACAACAGGAAGGGAATTAATAGTATTCATCACTCGGGACCAGGCTCCTGAGCACTCTCCACATAGTTTCCTTTGTGCCCTGCCCTTATGGGGTACCTACTGTATATCCCCTGCTTTATAGGTGAGAAACCAATGGCACAAAGTGGTTAAGTACCTTGCCCAAGGTCACTCTGTGAGCTAGAATTCTAACCTAGGCCATCTGCTCTAAAGTCATTATGCTGATACACTGACCGTGACTAGAATTATACTGACCATTCTCCGAGTTCTTCTACCTGTGGCCACACTAACCACACACACCTCCGCCCACCCCACACCCACCTCCCCTATTTAGCTCACTGTATGGTGACAGTCAACCACCTGCCAGCAGGATGGATGCTGGTACTTTAGATGGCATCTCCAGGGACAAGCATGTCTGGTATTCAGAAGTTTGGGGACTTTTCTGGGTCTGCTCAGATATCTACAACTGTACATAACTTATCACCTTTAGTGATCAAACACTTTCATCAGATGCATTTGTCCTTACTTAGCAAAATAAATGACCTTAACCCTGAGTGGGGTTAAGACTATAAACAACCTCACGTCTGTCAGGTCAGGTTTTGCCAACAAGAGCATTTTGATACCAATCCTTTCATTTCACAAAGACTTGCAGATTTGGAACTCTCGATAAGGGGCTATAGGATTCAAACTTTCACCATTTTTAAGCTGGAGTCCTAAAGTTGAGCATTCACTGATGTTGCAGGGCTGAATGGACATTGTAACCCTGCATCCTATTGAACCTTCTAAAAAAAAAAAAAATCCCCCAAAACGAGAGTTGCCTTAAGCGTAAGGAGTCAGTCTGACCTTCTTATGACTTCCTGAACTAGCAATTTAATTATCCCCACACTATGATATAAATAATTTATATAAATTATTTAAGTCAGCATAATTGTCCTTTTGACTTGGAGCTTCAGACCCAATGCTAAATCTTGCCATGCTCGGAATTGTCTCGCAGTGAGTCAGACGAATGAATCGGACTGCATCTTCATCTGTGTGATGACAGGAAAATCAGGTGACTTGTCCCGCCCCCGGCTTATTTGATAAGCTCTCTGAGCTGAAAATTAAAAGCAACACTCCAGCAGGTAAGCCCAGGACTTAATTCTATCGCTGTGAATTTTGCAGGAAGGAATCTGTCTGACTTCTGGGAGATGGCGGAGAAATCTCCTGTTATCAATTACACATTCACCAGCGGTGTGTCTGCTCAGGGTGAGTGTCAACCACCCAGTTGGGTGTCTTAGAGCCTGGTCCCACATTGCAAACTGAAGACTGAATGCAGCCCTCAGGTATTGCATCCCACTATGCTGTGTCAAAATCAAAGGATTCACATTTTTTTAGGTTTCCGAATTTTCTTACAAAGGAAGGCCCAGCAATGCTGTGTCTTCTCCCTCCCATGCTGCAAGCAACTTGACTTGCTGCCTCTCTCCTCCCATGAGGAGGACACCTTTCTCCTGTTTTCCACAGCCCAGTGCTTTACACCCCTCCCCCACCCCAACCTCTACAATATGCATTCATGGCCATAAGAACAACAGTCTTAACATATGATTGGGTTATTTTACTTTACTGCCCAGAACTCATGAGTCAGTGGCAGGCTCCTTAGTGTGGAGAGTACATTTCTCTGTCTTCAAGATCACTCTCTTCTCTGTCCTTTTGCCATGAATTCCCTGCTGAAGCCAATTGATGTCCTGCCTCTTCTGGCAGACGCCATACTAATATAGTTCCATGCCCCCATGCCCTGAACTTTGCTCATGCTGTTATCCCAGACTGGGGCTCCTTCTCTACTTTTCTATTGTTCTATACTTGTCTGTCAGTTGCCAGTTTAGAGATAGCCTCTTCTTTCCCAAAGGTCCTCCAATCAAAATCACCCATCATCTGTGGTCCCACCACACTACACTTGTGTGTCACTTGGACTTGAGATTACTCCTGGTTATATCAGTTGACTTTCTGGGTATATCACCTCACTGAGTGGTACTTGAAGACAGAGCTCAATCTTCCAAAGCTTCTGCCATCCCCCTCAGTACCTTACACTGTATTTTGTACGTAATACAAAATACATAGATATTTCTTGGAATGAAATGAAGTTTGGAAAAAAAAAAAACCCTAATTCATTCTCAGAAGGATACTTCAATTTGTATTTATTATAGGACATCTCTTAGTTATGCTGAGAAGGGCATATCAGCTTATGTGGAATGAGTCTACCTAATAAGATAAAATGGCTATTTGTGGGGTTCCCTTCATCTTTCCAATACTGAGGGAAAATCTGAGGGTTGAGTCACTTTTACTTCTTCCATGACTGCATTTTCCACTCCAATCTCAGTTATCTCTTCCTTCTTACTCCCTCGATAATGTGCTTGGGAAGAGAACGTAAACCTACAAGTTGACCCTAAGTTTGATGTGCCTGACAGCCAGTCAAGTGGCTGAGGAATAGTTGGATTGGCAATCATTTGACTCATGTCCAATCCCTCTTGAGGCAAGAACAGGTACGTGGTACATGTTGGGTGTTACTGAGCCCAGCAGTAAGGCAAGAGAGAAGAGAGGATGGAGGTCTACTTCCTGAAATTTTAGAGATTCCCAATACACCATTTCCTATGGAAGAAGCAAGTAGGGGCAAGAGTCCAGTAGAATTTCTGTCCACCAGTCTGTAGGCCAGCCTTCATGACCCAGACATAGAGATGCTAGGAGCCAGTGGGAATCTGATGCCCTAATGCCAGGCCCCACCATGGAAGCCTTCCTGAGGGGAGACATAGGGAAAAGTTGTCATTTTGCTTCATGGAGAAAAGAAGGGCCCTGGGCAGATCTCCCTCTGAATCAAGCCTTCTGCTATTTCTGTGGGGAGCTATCTTTCAAGCAGTTTCTGCCTGGCAGACTCTGGCCCCCCAAATTTCACTTCTGGCTCATAATCATATTCATAGGTTACATAGAGCAAGCCTAATTCTCTTCCCAGGACAGATGCCAGAGCCATGGAGAGGCTGAGGACTGCAAAGTGAGCTAAGGACTGTTGCCTTGTAGGGCAGCAACATTGGGTGGCACGGGATGGAGGAAAAATAACTCAAAGTCCAAGTACTGAGAGAGAGAGAGACCTAGAGGGGTTTCATCTCTGGAGATACAGTGCCAAATTCTGGGCTAGTCGCGTTTATTTGGGGGTCAGATTCAGGGAAGGGCAAGTCCATGGAGGAAGGTGTGAAGGAATATGCCTGGGTTGGAGATGTGTAATAGTCTGGCACAAGCTAGGGGGAAGTGAATAACAGCTATTGTTTGGGGGAGAGGGTGTTCCACTCTTGCTGCTGATCAAAACATCCTCTCTATGGTCCTTGTTTACACTTACCTTCCTGTCAAGGTGGGCTAGCTGGTTTTGCTAATCTGGCCATAATATGTGCCTGCTATTCTCAGCAGATAACCTCATACCAAGACTCTTGTCCTGGTGAGAGGCTCCCTACTTGACTCTGCATTTAGCTTAACTAGCAGCAACTTTGGGCACCGAACAACATCCTGAGAACAATGTGGGGTAGGGGGTCCACAAAAGACTGACAGGATCCAGGTTCTGTTCCAGTGTTGGCCTTACAGCTTTGCATGTGTTCACAGCACCTCTTCAGAAATGGGTATTTTAGCTTAATTTATCATCAAGGTCCTACTCTCTTTTTGGTGATGTACAGTTCTATTCTTAGGTTCTGTTCTGGGTAAGAATAGAACCCAGATGCCCAGGACCTCGCTGCATCTGTATGATAGCTGCACAAGGACCTTTAAAAACTCGGCAGCTCTTCATGCTCAAAGTGTCAATCAAGTTTATCAATGTTGCCATTGACTATGTCCCCAAAGGTGCAGCTACCAGCGGTGCAGCTATGACATCAAGCCTGACACCCATAAGCTGGCAAACACTACGGACAAGCCCCCTACGTGGAACCCTGAGCACTGGAGTGACTTCTCTGAAAGCCTCCTCCTGGTCAGAGACAACTCCTTCATCAGCAGGAGAGCAGACGAGGCTTCCTGAGCATTTTGCCAGGACCACAGCCCCATGGATCGGCTCCCCTCCTGAACACCCCACCTCGGGTAGGAAACTTCCCACCTTTTCTTCTCCTCTCCTGTTCCCTCAAGTCTCCTCCAGATATGTGGAAACTTTCCTTCTAGCCCTTCCCAAATGTCCCCTTTCTCCTTCAGCCCCCCTTAAATGAGAAATGTGTGTGAGCCCATGAGAACAGATAGTGGCTTAACTGTCATTGGCATAATGTCCTGCTAACATTTATATTTATACTTTTTCTTAAATTTTGAAATAGCCGTTGCAAGACTAACACAGAGCTTCCTCCCATTCCTTCACCCAGCATCCCAGGATGACAGCATCTTAAAGAATTGAGACATAGATGTTTTTATTTCAGCAAAACATTTAGCAATATGTCTCCCTAAAATACACACTGAATGGTGAAATGCAGCCAATATTTCAAGCAGGGTTAGGTTCATTGCTAGCTGGCTGGATAATGATGCCAAAGATGGGTTAATGGCTTAGTGCCAGCATGATGACTCAACAAGATTGTCACCAAAGATGCAAAGGCATGCTTGTCCCTATTTGCGAATAAGATACAACTGAGATAATGTTTCCATGAAGATCAAGATTGTCTCAGTGGATTCCAACAATGAACCAGAGTCCTTAGAATTCATTCATTCATTCATTTTCCAAAACACGTATTTCATGTTAGACGAAGGCTAGCTCTTAAAAAGACTGTTCTGTTGATATCCTCTTTCCTTCCTGAACTCACAGGCCAGGAAAGAGAGACACAGGCAAGTAAATTGAGCATTGTGACCCAGCCTACAAAGAGCTATTGTGCAGGGAAAGCCCAAAGCCAGGGTTCCCCAAAGAGGAGGTAAGAATTGGTAGGGGTCAGGCAGGCAGAGAAACAAGAATGAGAAGAGGAATCAACTTTATTAACTAAAATGGCCTTAGCACAATGACCAACTTCATGACAATCACAAAATTAGACACCTTTCTGGTACAGTATAAAAAAAAAGGAAATGCTCTTAGTAAGGAAAAAATCATAAAATTTCTAACTATAACACTAAGAGGAAAAGAGCTAGCTTTATATATAAAAGTACAAAAATTTAATGTGAGCAGTAAACACATTTTAAAGTAAATGACTTTTAACTAAATGAAGGATATACCATATTTTAAAGATGGCAACTGTCCCCCAAAAGAATTGAAAGCCCTTAAAGAGGGTTAGTTTAGAAAAACTTGAAAGAAATAATTTTAATTCCTATTTATGGAATGATACTTTCAGAATGAACACATGAACATTACAGCAATTGATTCAATGATGAAGGGCTTATTTTAACAATCTCATGAAATTGAAGGCCAGGTATCATTGTTACCATTATTATTATCACCACAAGTTCAGTGACCTGCCTCAAAATTCGCAGCATAGAGGATAAAGGAGGATTTACACCCACAGCACTCTTGACTGAGACTCCATAATCTCCCCTTGAGGTCACATGACTAGAAATGTATTTCTTAAATGAGAGAATGAAGCCACTGTGCCCCAATACATGCCCTCTTTGGTGGTCTGGATGGCCAAGGGAGTAGGAGTCGTTTCCCAATAAATGTATTGATTTACTGCTCGTTTTCAAAGCTTAATGGTCTCAAGAGCACAGCTCCCTTCTTGATGGGGATACACACTTCTCTCGCCTCCCCTGAAGCGCCAGTGCCGGCACACAATCACACCAACCCTTCTGCTCTATCCTCTCATCTCCCTTCTGCTCTATCCTCTCATCTCCCTTCTTCTTCACCTCTGGTGACTGCAATATTTTCCACAAAATCTAAGTTAGTTTTATTGTGTTTTGACAGCTGGTTTGCTTTGGTTATTTATATTCCACATTCGAGTAAAGCCATCTGGTATTTGTCTTTTGCTTTGTGATTTATTTCACTTAGCATAATCACCTCCAGCTCCATCCATGCTGTTGCAAAAGGCAAGAACTCATCTTTCCTTAATCGCTGAGTAGTATTCCACTGGTATTCCATATATATATGGCGTCTTTATCCAGTCACATGGCATTTCGGTGGGGTTCGTATCTTGGCTGTGGTGAATTACGCTGCTCTGAACACAGAAACAAGGTTATCTTTTTGAATGAGTTTTTTATTATTTGCAGTTAAAGAAGAAAAATTTAGTTTGTTCAAAGATTGTAGCGCCAGGGAGAGGGAAGCCTCAGCGTGATCTATTACAGTCACATGGTTTTGCCCTTTGACTACGCTTCAATGTCTTGGCAATTTTATGTCTGATCAAAGCAGCCAAGCAAATGTGTTTTGTCACTCTGTCATTTGTGTAGCTACCAGGAGGGTGGCCAGAACTTCGTGGGTGACAGTCGACCAGCAGGCAGAAGCTTCCACACCTGAGTCCTGGGCTCAGACCACCGGTGAGAAAGCACCTGGAGGCCCCCCGTGGCCGGCCCCTTCCTCCATGCCTCCAAGTTCTGCAGGGGCTGAGGGGCCCACGAGTCTTTGGCTTCTTTCTGGGTCACCTGCTAGGCCAGAGGCCACCCCCAGCAGCCCGTTCCGGACCAGCCAGACCTTAGGTAAGAAACGAGGCTCCTCCCACCTGCCTTTGGCTCTTTTCAAAGCATTTTCTACATTTTTGAAATATACATGTAGAAAAGGAAGAAAATGTAAGTGAACAACATAATTAATAATCACCCCCAGGCTTCTCCTTGTCTGTACCCCATCTTGTACTCCCTACATTTGAATGAGTGAATACATGAATGCAGGAAGTTTTCCTCTTTTATGGATCATTTTCCAGCAGCTTCTATGTTCCCTTTTTCACGTCTATTAAACCACAGATCCCTCGATGCAAACCTCACTCATCCAGGCAATTCAGCTGCCTTTTGGAAGTGCCTTTCACTTGATCACACTGATTATATGTGCATAATACATATGCAATGTCATGTACATTAATTCCGTGCGCACTGATTTTATATGTACATATTATATATACATATATATATTCACAAACACACACACACAAACATACACACACATACATATATATCCACACATGATTAAAAAATTGGTGAGATGAGCCCATATTCTCTCAGGAAAGTGACAAGCAGTGTCTAGGGGATGGGGAAGGCACATACCCCAACTCAGGTGAATGAGAAACAGGCGTTCTCTGCTCCCTGGTGCACCGTGCTCGAAACCCTAGTGCAACACCATCACTCTTTCTTTCCATCATGTCGCACCAGTGAGTTGCTTTGCCCCCACCAGCGTGCCAGGCACACCCTGCCATGACAGATGGCCTGTCCACTTCCTCCTAGACTGGAGTCCTCTGTCGCAGGTAGTGTTTCTTGGTCCTTTACTGCATCCTCGATCTCTGCCAGCTACCTGGCTTGATAACAACATTGGGTAACTAGGGTGAGTTTTGTGCCCTGGGCTTCTTTCCTTGACCAGATCTCAAAAAACAATGCAAGGTCACTTTGGTCTCATCTCACCCCAGGAACACAGACTCCGAGCCCAACCAAGGCACCGGCCCCCAAGTACCCACACACAGGTAAGACTGTGCCACTGGAGAGAGAAACCCAAAGCACAGACAGGAAAACCAGCTTGGGAAGAGGGGTGGGTGAGCAGGCTGACTTGGTTGCTCACTGTCCAGTGTATGTTCTAGAAGAACCAAGAAAAATCCAGAACTAGTTTATAAGCTTTGACAGGCTGTGAGGTTGCCCTGTGGTGCTGGATATGTCACGTCTTCTTTCTGGGCTGCAATGTCCCTGTGGGTTTCCAGGACTCGTAGCCGTCAGGGCTGTGACTGCCCAGTGGCCCCTGCCCTCCAAGCTCCCCCTCATCCCTTACAGGTGACCTGCCTGCAGCCTGGCCATTTTTCCTGGGAGAGCTGCCAGCCCTGGCCCCCAGACCCCACGTGTCCTGTAAGTGCCAGCGCCTTGTCCCGAGCAGGGCTTTTGTTGCTTGAGCAATGTGTGGAGCAGAAAGAGAAAAGGCTTGTTTGATATAGTTCGTTCCACGCTGCTGGGATTCAGATGTGACTCGACCATTTACTGGTGATTTCGGCTCCAGCTCTTGGCATCCAGGATTCAGCTTCCTCTCCATAAAGTGAAAATAATGGCAATTACTGTGGGCGCTGAACCTGTCTGTTTTCCACCAGCCTTTGTTTTAAATAAGATAATGTGTGTAGAAGTGATTAGGAACTAAGGAGCTCCGTGTACGCAATCCAGTAAATGTTATTGAGTGAAGACAACTGAACACTGTGTGTTGCTTGGCACGTGAAAGTTCTTCTTTTATTTATTTTGGAAATGAAGCAAGTTGGTTTCTTCTTTTCCGTGCTGCGTACGGTTGGTGGTAGAACTCTACGCTTCCACACCGCATAGACCGGTTTCCTTTCACCCCAAGGGCACCCCTCCCCGCCCCGCCCACATCGCGGTCTCCTCAGGTAACCAATCATTCTTTCGTCAGACGATACCTGTGTTCCTCTCACCTCCACGTATGACACGCACGGTGTCAGTCCTTCTCAGGTTGGCTAACTTCACTAATGCCCTCCCGGCTCCCTCAAGCTGCAATGGCGGCGGTGCGCGGCACGCACACCTGCGTAGTCCTCAGCTCTGCATTTTGCCCTGTTTTCTTTGTCCACTCCTCCAGGTCTTGTAATGAGCAAGGTCACTGGCAGGGACAGAGCATGACTCCTAAATTCAACCCCTGTTCCCTGGGTATGATTTACTTTGCTCTGCTTCAGAGAGCAGCTGCCTTTTCCTGCCCACACACTTCTTAGAGAACTACAGAGAACGTGTCTCAGGCTTGCGGGAGGGCGGTAGGACCCTGAGACAGCCCCAGGCTTCCAGCTTCAGGGTTCAGGCCTCACCATCCCAGATCTTGGCTGTTTCATTTCTAGATCTTTTCCACTGAGCGAGTTTCCTTAAGAAAGAAATGGATGCAAAGCGAGTGAGGCCTGCAAAGCTGGTAGTCTGTGGCCTCACCAACTCCTGGGTGCCTTCCTATACTAGGTTCCTGAATGTTCTGGAACCATCCAGTCATCTGTCAACAGGCATTATTACATTTTGGAGGCTGCACAGAATCCTATTTCATATCGCCTAAGATCTATCTCAGACCTACCATCTACCTGCAGTGAATGGTGAATGGGCCTTTCAAACACAAAATATGATTAAGCTACCAAGGGAAGCTATAGCCAGTTTTCCCCTAGTGAGTTCAAAAGAGATACAGTCCCCTTGAGGTGCAGATGGGGGCTTTGGAGAGGTTAACTCTACCTGTGTCTGTCTACCAAGGTGTCTGGAGCAGCCAGAGACCAGCCAGCCACCTAGTGAGAAACAGAAGGGAGAAATAAGTTGGTTCTGGCATCTCCCAGTAAATGATTCTCCCATCCATGAAAAATCACACCTCAAGACCTGACACCGTCTCATTCTCCTCGCATGAATATTTACCAGATATGTTTTTGTTCAATGTTTTAGCTCCCTGTTAAATATTTTCTTCTCAGAAGTCACCCTGAGTTCCTCCAGGAACTGGGGCCCCATCTCCTCTCTGCCTGCCTGTCAGAATGTTCACAGCAATGTGGAAGCAGGTCTATCCTTACCTGGCTACCTGAGTCCCGGAGGTCAGGGCAAGACTGTATTCATCCAGCATGATCACCAGCCATTTCAGCAAGCTACTTGCTGAATTCCTGCAGAGTTAAATAGTCTGGGATTATTTTTTCTAGGGTGTCCTCAGCCATTCCTCAAAGAGGGGACAGCTGCTCCTCCCACCCAGGCCATCCAGAAGCTCAACCCTTGCCTTATGGAGCTGTGCCGCTTTTTCCAGCAGTGTCTCTGCATGAGCCACGAGCGGGACCCTAGAACAGAAGCCACCAGGTATCCCGGACAGGTTGCTGCGCTTTACATGCAGTATTTACAGGCTCCCTGTTCTTCCTGGTTTGTGATAGGCTGAGCTAGGCAGGCGTTAAACAAGCCAGAGACAGGGGATAAGGGCACTTCAAGGAATCAACCTCTGAGGAGTCTTCTACCAGACTGCACCTTTTTGAGAGCAAAGATGGATTTTTACTCCTATCTGAGTGCCCCAAACAAAGTGCAGGATGAGCAAAGTAAATCTGGTTCAAACTGAGTTGAGCTGAGCTAAGCTGAGTAGCTAAGTTGAGCTGAGTTGAATAGAATAGAATCAAATTGAATTGAATTGAGTTGAGTTGAGCTGAGCTGAGCTGAGCTGAGCTGAGCTGAGCTGAGCTGAGCTGAGCTGAGCTGAGCTGAGCTGAGCTGGGTTGAGCTGAGCTGGGTTGAGCTGAGCTGAGTTGGCCAAATTCGGGTGGGCTGAAGAGAGTTGTGTCACAGCCGGTGAGATGAGCACAGAAAGCTCAGGGTGGTCCAGACCGAAATGCCCTCATTCTGGTGACATTTGCTAGAAGGTGATAATCAGTGTCCCTCTAGCACTTACTTGCTTGCCAAGTACGAAGGCTGTAGAAAGAGTTAGAAGGCAGACCCTGTTTTATTTAAGAAGGTCTAGGTCTGGACATGTCCCTGTGTCCCTGCCCTGAAATGCTGACACGGGCTCCCTTGTTCCCGAGATTTATTCTTGGCTATCAGCTCAGAACCAAAAAGCAAGATGAATATTTCTGCTCCGATGGTCTGGGGCTTTTTTCTTCGATCTTGAATGCAATTTTCAAAGTCTAGTCATGAGCTTCAACTTTTCAAATCTCCATTTTCCTTTGGGTCTGAGTCCTATGTTCAGGTTGGCTGCCTTTTCCCATCATGCCTTTCTGGCCCTGGTCTTGGGCCCCTTGGTCAATGTGGGTCTTTCTTCCATATATAGACAAGGAGGTGGAGACATTTCTCAATGCCACAGGCTGATCCCAAAGAGAAAATATTTTCAACAGCGCTTTCTGGGTTCAGTAAATGATGATGTTTAATTAATACTTATGCGAGTCAGAAACACACCCAGAAATTGAGGTTACAAAATTGGGAGGAAGAAGTGGTCATAAATGCAAATTAAAAATAAAGCATATTGGCCCTCCCTGGTGGCGCAGCAGGTTAAAGCACAGCACTAAGAAGCTAAAGCCACTTCTGCATGAGTTTGATCCCCCGCCTGCCCCGGAGGTGACCACATGGTGTGGCAGACCTCTCCTGACTCGCCCGCTGCTCCCCTCAGCAGTGTACTTCGTCGATCTGCCTATTCTGCTCCCCACTCTGTCTCTGATGAAGCCTCTCACCGCCCCTGAACCTCTGGCCTGTGCCCCAGTTCTGTATGCACAAATAATCTTTAAAAAAAAAGAAAAGAAAAGAAAAACCGATATTGCAAATATTGACAGGAATAACTAATGAGGAAAGCACATGTAGGCCTACACTCAGCAGCTGGAAGACGGCTCAGGCCCTTATTCTTCTGATAACTTGGGAATGTAGATTCTGCTGTAGGTTTTTTGTCTATATATGAAAAATCAAAGGCTCAGAGAAATTAAGAAATCAGCATGAAGCCACATAGCTTAGTAAATAACTACTTTCAAGCAAAAATGTCTTATCTGAGCTTTTCCCTGCTCAACCTCATTCTTGACTCTCCTCCCACACCCTGTAAGGATGCAGTAAAGGTTCTTTGCTGAGAATAATTAGCTACTGTGACATTCTAAACTGGTTTCTTCTCAGAGACTCTACCGGGAGTGACTGCTTCCTTTCTCACTGCAATCTCTAGGTACTGTCTTGACTACTACTCATGGTTCCTGAAGAATGCGACACACATCTGTCAGAGGGTGAAGCGGGTGTCCCGGTCACGCAGTAAGTGTAGCTTGACCGTGCTGTGACTCAGTTTGATGTGAGCAGATTTTCCTGCATTAGCAGGTGTCAGGAGCAGTTGGTGTCGCTTCTCTAGTCACTACTGGGGAGTCGGGGGAGTCGGGGGAGTGAGGGGGGGCAGGGATCTTCCTGACCATGCACTGCTGCTGTCTGTGGGATCCCAAACAAGTTTCTGAGCATCGCTGAGGCCCCTGGTAAACTAATAAGACAAAGAAAAGGAAAACTAAAGACAATCCTACATATAACGCTTGACCAAAGTGAAATGTTTATAAGTCAAGAAAAACAAGGCAGATGAGGGCTGGAAGGGGCGCTGCGGCCTTGCCCTTGTCTTGATGGCCTCGCTGGCCCTCTTGTGCTGAAACACGGGGCAGCTGTGTTTTCCTCCCACTCCAGCAGACAAAAATGTCTGACCCAATCTGTCTGGCCCAGGACCAATGATTTAGTCACTTTACTTGGCCATCGACATGGACTGTCCGATCCAGGAATATTGATCTAAAGTTCATGACGTTAGATTGAACTCTGAAAAATCCCTTCTTGATGGAACTCAGCTAGAAGTGAGGTGTTCATGTGACCCCAATTCTGCAGTGGTTGGCATTTAAAAGACTGTGGCAGTTTAGTGACCCGATCTTTCCCATGCTTCTTAAAGCTCATCAGATGGGATCAATGGCCTCTCCCTGTAGAAACTCATCTATTATCTGTCAGAAGCTGCCCTTTTAAAGCATCTCTCTCTGCTTTATTTTCCAACTTCTCACTCAACAAACCTCCTAAAATCAAGCTTTGCCTCCTTGTCTCTTTGTTTCCTTATCGCCTTCTGTGTCCTTTTTCTTTTGCTGGGTGTTTGCTTCTCTCTGAAACAGATCTTAGTTCATATGCAAATCCATCACCCCACTTTTCCCACCTTCTTTTTCAGTCAGAGGCACTGCTCTTCTGCCACAGGGGAGCCCGTCATTTGCAATGAGGGGCTGGGAGCTCAGTAATCAAAGGTAGAACTTTTTTCTCGTGCCATGGGGTGCAGCAACAGACAGTCCTGCCAACCACTTTGTCCTTGCCATCTTAGAAGCTCTACACAAACAACACATTACCCAAACAACACATGAATTCCCTTGGATTGGCCTTATGCACCCTGGGGAGATGGCAGAGAGCGCTGGGCAGAGCAGAACAGAGCAGAGCAGAGAAGGCCGTTCCAAGGTGACTTTGCTGCCGACTGGCCCGGAGGCTGGTACGAGTCCCACGCACACCCTGGCACTGACCTGGTGCACTGTCATCCTCCTGCCCTATGCAAGAAGCTGGGCTGTCAATGGGCACGTCAACACATGTCTCTGTACTGTTCCCTTCTGCTAAGAGATAAACAGGCAGTTAAAGATATTTTAGATTTTATTGAGCAAAGATCAGTTTGAACTTGGCAACACTCAATCTAGCAGCCAGAGAGGACCTGTGTGAGATCTAAGAATTGCAGGCAGAAGGTGTGAGGACAAGGACGGTGACACTGGGGACAAGTAAAGGGTGCGTATGTCAGGTATTGCAAGGGTGAGGGTCTGGTCTCTGCTCTCAGGCTACCAGAACCAGTGCTGATAGGGCAATTCCTGTGACTTCCAACTCCACTTGTCATTAAGTTGATGTTTGGTTTGGTGACACAAGTTTAATAGACGTGGCTCGCTTAGGGGCCATTGTCCTGTTGTTGTTTCAACACTTTTCAGTACCTGAGTTCCGTCTCTTCTCCTTTTGCAGCCTTAAAACAAAAATGCCTTGAGAATATCTGCAGGTCAGTATGAGACCTTAAAAAAACAAGCGGAGCCAACCAGCCCTTGGTAACACCCCTTCATTTCGCCCCTGATCCAACTTGCTTGTATTTGGAGAACTCACCCAAGATGCAACTAGCTCGTCAACTAACTGAGATTCACTTCCTTTTGGAAGTGACATACCCCTGGGTGCCCTAATGATCTGTGCAAGTTGTGGTGGTGCAGAGACAACGCTGGAGGCTGCTACAGGGTCACCACAGCTCGGTACCTGTGCTCATGAAAGCCCTGTCTGCTCGTAGCAATCGGACCTGGAGGGAGGAAGCAGGGCACTAGCGCGTGAGGGCAAGCCAGACCCAGCACCCGCAATGACCTAAGCTGCACTTTCAGAAGAAGGCAGAAGGGACAATGAAAAAACTGAGCCCCTCCGGAGAGATTCACCAGTGATTTCTCTTTACAGCTAATTTAAACTGGGTGATGGCCTTTATCAGACACACTGCACGCGGCAGCTAGGTCATTGCCTAAGCACCCAGGTAGGAGTGATGAGCACCTGTCCTCAGCCGACTTGGACAGCTTCTTGCCTTGATTCCTCTTCTGTGTACCCCTGAATGTGGGGGTTCCCCAGGGTACCCTGAGGTTTAGTGAGTCACTAGGAGGACTCAGAGATTTCAGAAAAGTTGTTATATATTCATAGTTACCATTTCATGCACAGAAAAAGCAACCAAGGTAGGAGATGCTGAGGGCAGAGTCCAGGAGAGCCCAGAGGTGCCCCCCTGGGGGCATTTATTCTCCCTATATGATGTGTGATGACAGGTCAGCTGGGAAATCTCTTTTGAACCACAGCGTTGGGGCTCCTGTGGGGTTCAGTCATGTAGTACGAAGTCCCCAGCTACTCCAGAAGCCAGGATGATGCCACGTGATCCAAGACCCTTGCTGGAAATGACATGTGAGGGGCCCATCTGCAGGCCCCAGGGCCCAGCTACAGACACTCTGTCAGGCAGATGACCCTGAGGCCGAGGTAATCCCCCAGAGGCCACTCCAGGGCCAGACTCTTCTTTGGGATATGCAAGGTTTGAACACCGAGACCAATGAGTCGCCCTTCAGCGCATCCTGCTCATGAGGGGTGACCCCTACTGTAAAGGCCCCTGTTGACCATTTCCACGTGGCAGTTGCTCCAGTATTGCTGGAAACACGGAGTCTCTCATGACCAGGGGGGGTCGCACTTCCTGGAGCGACATGTGGAGCCCACAGCTCCAAGTGAGAACACCCCAGCTCTCACTCGCTCACTGCCTGACCAGCCACATTCCAGCCCGACTTGAGCTGTGCCTGCCCTTCAGAGAGAAAGTCACCTTCTATTTAGGGTCTAAATGGACACCACTTTCTCTCTGGAAGACCCTTGAGTACCCCTGAACTCTTGGTATATAACAAGGTTCTCCAGGAAGTGAATCTTGACCTTTGGGGAGAGAAGCAGCCAGACATTTCCAGCCTCCTCAGACACAACTTCTTCTTGATCTCCAGAGCATTTGGAGGACCCACAAAGTTATGCACATGTCAAGTTCATAAATACCTGCCCTCATGATTTGGGGGTTCTGCACAGGGCCCTCAAATTCTCAAAGCTGAGGAAGATACACACAGGTGCTCAAGCAAAGGGGCATTTACCTGGGTAGGAATCCTGGTAGGTGAGGGCCAGTCCGGTGACCCCTCTGTGCCCCACGAGTGGCTATTAAGACCCTCTGGCAGGAAAAGACTCCTGATATTCTCCATGGAATGGTCTAGCAGCAGGGAAGGGAGGTGATGGGCTGATGGCTTGGTCCCAGCACGCCAGCTGTCCCTTAAGAAGAAAGTCCAGTGGGCCTGCACACCCAGGCACCAAAACGTTAGGGGTATGACTGAGCTTGACTGTAACTTTTCAAAAGCCCTACTTGGAGGGTCCCTCAGGCCTGGGCAGGGGTCTGACCTCACAGCAAGGATCAAAGCTCAGAGGTCCACACAGGACCAGTTTTCTGGATCAAGGCAGCAATTCCAAGGGTGAAGTGACCTGAGGATGGATTCCTGGGGTGAAGGGGTGGCTCAGCCTCCTGAGCTGAGTGTGTCCTGATTTGGGGAACGCCTGGGCAAGTGGAGACCCCCGATGCCACCACACTGTGGTCCCAACAGCATGTGCTACCAGGCTCACTGAGGTCACAGAGATTGTCAGTGAATGTCCCTCACTGAAGGAGGAGACTGCAGCAAAAGGTGTGGCTTCATTAAATGGGGCTCTCCTGGGGGGAAAGAGCACACGTGTGTGTTTCCCCCGAGCATGCTCAAGAGACAAAGTAAGCTGGCAAAAGAGGGAGAAGGAAAGAAGGGAAAGGACAAGGGAAGAAGAGGATAGAGGAGAGAGAAGGTAAGGGAAAGGGAGGAGAAAGGGATGAGGTTGGCGAGGAGAGCAGCAGGAAGAAGACGAGAAGGGTAGACAGGTAAAGGGAGAGGGGCGCGCACAGCCCTGCGTGCGCATGCGCCGTCCGCCTCCTTCCAGGCTACAGGAGCATCATGGCTGCGTGCGCATGCGCCGTCTGCCTTCTTCCGGGATTCAGGCCCATAGTGGGTTTGTGCGCAGACGCGCGCAGGTGCATCACCTACCAGGCTTTCACTTTACTTTTATCAACAAACTTTTGCTCTGGTCTCTCAAGATCTTGTGAAACTTCACTGTCACCGTTTCCCACCTGCAGAGATGGGGGATGCGGGCCAGGGCCCTGCAATGCTCCCCAGGGACATCTTGCTGGTGGCCCGCACTTGTGAACACCTGACCCGCACTGGGGTGCTGAGGGTAAGACACCCCATTGCTCCCAGAGGAAGTGACACACCTGCAGCCCCCGAGGGTCCCTTGTTGGGGGAACGCCCAGGGAGAGGCCCGGAGGGTGAGTGTGGCTGCACCTCCGCGCTAGGTCAGGGCGTGGGGGTTCTGTGTTAGCGCCGGGATGGGGTCCTATGCTCCCCTCCCGAGACACTGCACAGCCTGGGGCTATGGAAATGAAAGCTTCCAGGCATAAGGGACTAAATCTGTGGATTTAGAAAGGCACCCCTTTGCCCACTCCCGCCCCTGTGTTCAGACCCCTTCTGGGAAGCAGCAAAAGCCTCAGCAGCTCTCAGCAGGTTGCCCTATAATCCCCACACCTGCTGCCTTGCACAGGCTGCCTCCTCGCCTCAGGCCGTCCGTGAACTGAAGTCTGCCCTGTTCAGAGCCAGGGCCGGGTGGTGAGGTAAAGCCCTGTGATCCTCTGGAGTCTGTGGCAGACACTCGTGTGTTAGTTCTGTAGCTGAAATTGCAAAGGAGCGAATTCAGGAGCAGGATGTGAAGAGCAGAGGAGCTAGTTGGAAGGGCCTCCTGAGAGCCTTATAGGCTCACCCAAGGCCCTAGGAGGATGACCGCCACTTCCCGCATCTGGGAGTGGGCAGTGACGGAGCTCCCTGCCCCCCAGCAAACCTACATGCAGGGCTCATTCTGGAACCAAGCTGTTAGATTAGAAAGCCCCAGCTCAGGGGCCTCCCTGGTGGCGCAGGGGTAAGTGTCAGCACTGGGAAATTATAGGCAGCCACTGCACCCTAAGTTCCATCCCCAGCCAGTGAGTGATCCATGTGGTGTGGCAGACCTCTCCTACCTCCCCACTGCTCCCCTCAGCAATATATTTAAGTGAATCCACCTGTTCTGCTCCCCACTCTCTCTAGTGAATCCTCTTACCCTGCATCTGTGGCCTGTACTCCAGTTCTTATGTGCATAAATAAATAAAAACACGTCTTTCAAAAATAAAAGTCCTGCTTGGGCCCTCCCTGGTGGCACAGCGGGTTAAAGCACAGCACTGAGAAGCTGAAGCCACTTCAGCATGAGTTCAATCCCCAGAAGTGATCCATTGGCACAGCAGACCTCTCCTGACCTGCCTGCTGCTCCCCTCAGCAGTGTACTTCATTGATCTGCCTGTTCTGCTCCTCAATCTGTCTCTGGCGAAGCCTCTCACTGCCCCTGCACCTCTGGCCGATAAATAAATAAATCTTAAAAAAAAAAAGTCCTCTCACCCTACCCACAGCCTGGACAGAAACCCCCAAGGGAAGCAGGTCACATTCCCTGGCCTGAGGCCAGGGACTCATAAGACAGCTCTCTCCGGGGAGCCTCTTGCTGAGATTCCTCTAGACCAGACAAAGCTGCCCCTTCTCCTCACAGGAGTGTGGGGCTTCCTCAGCTTTCATTCCCCTGTTCCCCCATGGCCCTGGGCCCCCAAGCCTGTGAGGTGAGGTGAGGTGTGGAACAGGGGAGCCATTGTGCTCTAATGATGGCCTGGGGCTCCTGGGGGCTGCGTGGGGCCTCTTAATATCAGCATTACCTGTTCAGCCACAGCTGCAGGCACCTCCCCCTCAGGGGCAGCCCAGCTGCGCCTTTGTGGAAGCCCTGGCCCCCAGTGAGGGGCAGGACAGGTCACATGACTAAGGGTCTCACTTGGGGTATAAAGGTTTAGTCCCATCATGTCAAAGGCAACTGCTTTCCAGAGGGACTGCAAGGTAGGCGCCCCTTCTACTGATGGTGTGGGGGCTGGGAAGGGGGCTTGGGCTGGGGAGAAGGGAAGAAAGGAGGGAGAGAGGAGGGAAAGATAGAGGAAGGGAGGAGAGGGGGCAGAGGGAGGGGGAAGCCACCCCAGAGGCATGGAGGGACATGGGTGGAAGGCAGGGAGGGTGGGAGGGAGAGGAGGCACCCCAGAGCCCTGTTACCCCAGGATGTAGCTGGAAACCAGGCACTCTCTGCGCCTGTGCAGAGATGCAAAGCCTGGGAAACAGCACTTGCTGGGTTCACCTGGAAGGTGCATAGCCATCTATGAGGGCCCTGAAGCCCAGGGGCCCAGGGGCTGCCCCAGGGCACTGGGTGCCTGGATGCCTAAAGGATCGCCCTTTATCTGGAATTTTCTGGATGAGGCTGCTTCAGTGCTGGACTCAGGTGCTCAGCACTTAAAGATTCAGAGCCTCGGGCCCACGTCCATGCTGCCCCACCCCAGGTCTGTACCACAGGAAGCACTTGCTGCAGGACACTCCCTGCCCTGGGTGGATTAGGTCATCAGGAGGCAGATGAAAGGGCTCGTCTCCAGATAGAGTGAGCAGCCCAGCGCCGGCCGGCAGGCCGGCCGGGCAGCCTCATTCCCTGAGGAGAGCACATTTCTGCGCCACCATCAGCCCTGGAGACTTCCTTAAGGCAAATTAGGAAAAGGCGGCCCTTCGTCCTGCTCCCAGGGTTACCTGCCTTGGCCAGCAGAGAATGCTGGGTCTCTATGAAATTTGTCTATAGAATGAGAGTTTGGACGAGTTGATTCCTCTGGCCCGCCCCCCACCCCCCACCCCCAGGCCTCTGGAATTCTCTCATTGTGTGAGGAGAATGTAAAAAAGCTGACTCAGCAAGCTCCTGTATTGACCAGAGTCTGCGACTATAGGTGTCCTTCTGAAATGCCTCAGCTGCTTTCAAGTGGGGTATCATTCCATGCCATACCCTTCATTTTCAGTCTGGTTTCATGGCCTGGACAAGGGGCTATTCAGGTCTGAATCTGCAACAATAGGACCGCCTGTGTAACCCTGAAAATCCAGGCGCTCTAGGAATTTATGTGGCTAAGAGATGATAAGCAGTGCTATGCCCAAGAAAAATCAAATAAGAGAATGTTTGAGCATAGCATAATCTTAAAGAACGCACACCCTATCCTCTAGCGTTTATTTAATACATTTGCTTTACAGTCACCAAAGACTGCTGGAACCCGGGTCAAGTTCATAGAGTAGTGATCCTACAGCAGACCGATGCTTCTCCTCTGGGACACCTTCCCCAGTACTAAGCCACAAGGTAGAGGCCTGGCCTCCTCCTCTGTCAGCCCCTTCAGCACAACGCCAAGCACAGCTCACCTTGAACAACCGTCCCCCGCGGCCCAGTGTGCCACTGGGTATCTTGATCACACCAAGCTATCATTCATAGTTCGTCCCAAAACCATATCCTACAACAGAATAGACTCGAGTCAGTCATCCTTTTTACATTCTGTAGGAAGTTCTATTCCCAGGGAACTGAAAGAATTCTAGCGCCTTCCAGTTTTCATTTCTTTCCTTCTCTACTAAATACTCAGTTGACTATTCTTTGAGTGTCGTCAGTATTGCTGGCCTAGCCTGGCCAGCTATGATAGGCCCCTTGCCCACATCTCTTGAACCCCTAGGATGGCAAAAAGTGTTTAAAGTGCTCAAAAGCCGAGGAATAGGGAAGTCTGCGGGAAACTTATTGTTTGTTATTGTGAGGTCCCGCCAAGCAATCGCCAAATTTATTCATCGGCCAAGTCAAACTGAACAATGGTTCAAAGTCAATGCTGAATGAAGATTTGGAAAGCTGGTGCATCTTGAGGTCGGCATCGATTCAAATGCAGTGTGGAAGTCAAACTGTAGGGCTTGAAAAATTGCCTCCTTACCATTAGCTTGCGAACTACTCACAGGTAGGCAGCTTCCTCGCCATCAACTCCTGGATCCTTGCAATGCGCCTGACACCCAAGTGGCCACGTACACCTGAGTGTGTAGTGAGACCACACGGCAGCCTCAAGGGCCAATAAACTGAGGGAAGGGGACCCCCTTTACGTCACACTGCAGCTAGTGGCAGAGCCATGCAAACAACTTCTGGGGCCTTCTCTTTTTATCACCCCTCCTTAGGGGGAAAAGGGCTTCTGGGGTCCTATCTCCTAGGGTTTCTGAACACCTCCTCACCCTTTCCCTCTGTCTTCTCCACAGGAGGCTGTTCTGGATGGAGCCACAGATCTGTTCTCTGTCCCCTGCTATGATCGTGCTTCTCCTCATAAGCTTGCAGCTGGCCCCACGTGCAGGTGAGTCATGGTGTCCACAGTGCACTTCTGCTTCGTGTAGTAATGGGACGAAGTGGGGGTCTAGGAACAGTACTGAGGGCTTGTCTACCCTCAGAAGTCAATGTGGACCCAAGGAAGCTGGGCCAAGAAGAGCAATATGGTGGCGGCAACAGTCTTTGCCTGCAGTTGCTACTACGAATGCGGGCTGAATTGTCAGCTTCATCCGACTTGCTAATCAATGTGTCTGCCCTTTTGTCTAATGAGTGATGGAACCAAAGCCCTGGTAAGCTCTGGGTTCACTTCCTTTGGTGTTTATGAGGTCGTGGTGCCGAGCATTTCTATGCAGGGTGGGCAAGGAGGCAGTGGAGCAGGAGAGAGAAAGGCAAGTGTCCAAAGGCAAGCGCTCCAGCCCGCATCTAAGGCTGAATTCTGTCCCACTATGACCCAGTCATCTAAGCAGGCACCTCGACCGGGTTGTCATCTTCAATTCACCTGGAGTCTCAGCTACAAGCCTGAGGCTTCTTTCTCCTTCCTGTTTCCTTTCTGACGTAAATATGCGGCTCTCAAACACTAAACCCATGCCCTTCTTTCCTCCGACTGTTGGGCCTGTAGTGGCCTGGAGCGCTCATTTAGCCAGGCATTTTCCTGTCCAGGTAAACCAATGTGCTGACCCTCTGCGGAGCACAACAGGGACGGGGAGACAGAGTGAATCAGCAAATATTGCTGATCATTTATCTTGACCATGACTGGAATTCGTAGACAATGAGGGGTTCACATGTCACCCAGAAGCTGGATGAGCTTTCAATGGAGCCACTTCCCCTTGAACTCAGTGTTCCTGCAACTCAACACCCTGCAGCACCCTGAGACCACTGCTGCAGGACAGTGGGCTGATTGCCGATCGCCGGGCTTGCGCTCACTCCTTCCTCCATAGTGTTGCCTGGTTCCAACATTTTTGCCACCATCTGGGTCTTTGGTGCTAATGCTACTGGGTGGCATGTCAGCCTCCACTTTAAAAAAAAAAAAGATTTATTTATGCATATAGAACTGGGGTACAGGCCAGAGGTGCTGGGGTGACAAGAGGATTCACAGGAGACAGACTGGGGAGCAGAGTAGGTAGATGGATGCAGTACCCTGCTGCGGGGAGCAGCAGGAAGACGGGAGAGGTCTGTCGCGTCATGTGGTCAGCTCCCTGGCTGGGGGTCGAACTCATGCAGAAGTGGCTGCGGCCAGCTTGTAGCGCTGTGTCCTATCCTAACCTGTTGCCCACCAGGGAGGCCTTCAGCCTCCACTTTTACCAAGAATTCAATTCAACTTGATCAAATTCCAAGTAAGATTTTCATTCATCTCATTTTTGGTGACAAAATTGTGAAATATTCTATAGGTTTTCCATCTTCTCCCTATTTTTCTCTCAGGTGAGATCTCTTTTACCCAATTTTCTAATTTTTTTGTACTTATTTTCCTCACTAATTCACCTTTTCTTCTTACAAAACAACAAATGTTTCCTTTATTTAAAAAACCTTGCCAATATCCTCCCAACCACTCTTTGCACATTTTTTGATATTTTTTTACTTCTCTATAAAATTGTGCACATTAAACATTTTCTGTCCTTCTGGCTGTATCTCTCTTTCCCTTAGTACACCAGGATATTAGTGACCATGATAACTTGCTATGCTAAATTGTTGCGAACATCTGTATGCTGGTCCTGGAAGATTTTATTCTTAAATGCAAACACCAAGTGTTCAAAAAAGATGGTAGCCAAATGGGAAAGGCGTGGCTGGGGAAGATCAGGGCAGGGCAAGGGGAGGAGCCGGGGGAGAGGGCGCGTGTCTGAAGTCACAGTGGCAACCAAGGGAATTTTGGCCTGGGCAGGTGTCCCAGGCCCAGGCTCACTGAGGGGCCTGCTGAGTCAGAGGCCGAGCTGTGTGCGGGTCTGGAAGATGTGACCGCCATGTAATTGCTGCCTAGGAATGCCGCCCCTGTTCTCTGCACCCAACGCTGGCTTGTGGCTTAGAAGAGTGGGAATTGGGGTGTCAATGGCCTCTGTGTTAGGAGAGTGAGAGACCCTCCCACCTGGACCATGTGTTCCTTTACTGCCAGCTCTCTCCTGGGCTTAGTTGGTCAAAGGCAGTATCATCCCCACTGCCCACTGTTCTCTGCCATGCTCATGTCCTTCCAGGTTTCTGGGAAGTGGGTGGGCAAAGAGAGGTAGATCTTCTGGGAAAAATAATCCATCATCACACCACTCATCATCATGGATAGACCTTATCTTTCCACTCACTAGGGGCGGCCATCTAAATTTGCTTAAAGTCTACCAGACCAGGATTCTGCAATTCCAGGATGCCACCTCTCACTGGCTGGTGGATTGGTCACTTATACTTGTATGTCCATTTTATGTGCCTGCACTCATAGCAGATACTGATTGAACTTGAGCTTCAATTTGTCATAGTCCTTGCCCTCATGGAAGTCCTAGTTAATGGGGAAACAGTTACAGCTCTTTGTAACATGAAGTCAGACGTGTAATGAGAAAGTTCACCTGATGTCATGGAGGGGTAGAGAAGGTGTGTCACTACCAGCCCAGGCTGAGGTCAGGTTGGGTGGGCTTCCTGGATGTTGAGAGGGCCTGCTTAATATCAGAAGCGTCTGGAATGCAAAGTCTAGGGCACAAACAATCTGGGACACAACGACTGAAACGCAAAACAGAGGGCACCCTCTCTGGGGTACACACCTAGGCAAAGGTAGGAGAGCAGGAAGTTGTTTGGTGTCTAGATGCCAGGAGCTTCCAGCGTGCATCAGAAGCATAAAGTTCAAGGTGAGAGGGGTTCAAGGTGGGTTCGAGATCAGAGAGAGCTTGTGTGTTGGGTGGGAAGAAGCTAGAGCTTCGTGAAGGAGCCGTTGTTTCATTGTCCATTAAAGGGCAACATCAGTGTGCATGCTGGGTGCACTGGGGTGACCCACAATAAATCCCGGAGTGGCTGAACGTGGGCACCAGTGCCCTCTAGCACTCTCGTCCCGAAGCAGGCACACATTTTATTCTATGCATTCTATCCTCACGTGGCCTCTCTCCTCCTCTGGACTTCGTAAGTGAACTAATTCAGTCTCTGGATAAACAATTTAAAATCCAGGGTGACATCTTCAGCTGCTAATGAAAATGTGTGGGCGTTGATATCCTGAAAGTTAGGGGGTGTGTGGGAAGCAAACGTGCCCCAGGAGCTCAGCGGTGATGAGCTCATCCCCAACCTCCAGAACAGAATTTAATTATCAGTTGCACAAAGGAAACACCAGCCAGCTAATTATCAAGGAGCAGGCAATATTTTACAATTGCTGCTGAAGTGGGCAGCAGGTATTCTTAGCTGTTGGCTGTGATGCTAATTAAATAGTTTCTGGGGTAATTATACCAAAAAGTAAAACGTGCCAGAAACGAACGATCATATGGGCTATCTCAGTGACATGGGTTCAAGTGGAGCCAACTTGGGCTGCAGGTATGTGGCTCACAGGACACAGCCCATGGTGCGCAGCTGGTGAGAAGTCTCCTCCCCGGGAATCATTCCTGGACCAGGCAAGTGGTGGGCACTGAAAGCTGAGAGAGGTGCCATCAGCACACCCTGCCTGGCAGGCCTGCAGGAAGTACTCCCCAAACTCCTCTGTGCCCCTCCATTTGGACCTTCAAATTGAAGTCAATCTCCAGACTTATTTTGTTTAGCCAAATGTTGAGTTAAGAGTTTAAAATGGGAAGATTTTACCAAAACTTTAGGTTTCAAAACAATCTTGAAATATCTGACTTGTGGGGCTTCTTCTCCATGACCTGGGGCTGTCAGCTGCCCCGTCGTGGTTTCCTGTTGCTGTAGCTCGCCGCAGTCCCCACTGCTCCCTATTGCTTCCCATCACGGTAAATTGAACCCCATTCACAAAAAACCTCAGAAGGCACATTAAGAAATAATACTACGCGCAAGGTGTGGTTTCCAGACAACCAACTTCAAAATCAGTGGGGGGGCTCAGGTATTAGAATTAGCTCAAGTATTAGCTCCCCACTGGAGCTGCTAGATCAGACTGGAGCAGGGGCCCACCAATCAGAACCGCCTCCCAGAGGACCTTGATGCTGATGTTCTGGGAGGAAACCTTCTCCTTGCCTCGTTCCTGCCTAGGGAATTGGATTCGCACCACGTCTGTACTCATCTTCTCTAATCTTTCACCTCCAGAAACCCCAAGCATGCATGTACTTTTAAAGTGTGCTTTAAACTGTACTTGAAACCATATGCTTCATATGCAACAAAAAATTCAACATCAATTCCCCAAGTTCTCTTTCCCCAACCAGAAGGCCACGCTTTTGTTTTTTTGCACGTAAGAACTGGGGTGGGGCGTGGGCCAGAAGGCAGGGTGAGAAGTTGAGCCAGAGCCAGAGCCGGGAGCAGAACAGGTGATCTACTGAAAAGCACTGCTGAGGGGAGCAGCGGGGAGACAGGAGAGGTCTGCTGCACCCCGTGGTCTCTCCCTGGCCGGGAATTCACTCAGGCCTCAGGGGGGATGGAGCTGAGACTTAACCCCTAGGCCTCCCAGGGAGGCCTCCGAAGGCCACTTTTAAGGCCTTTAAGCACAAAACACGGGGCCCATGTCAGCCATTCCTTTAGTTTCTTCAAGAGCCACCACGGTGGCCTGGAGCAGAGCAGCCAGAAGGCAAATATGCCCAGAACTGAGTCTATGGCCTCTTGTTCCTCTCTTCCTGCCACACCCCGGTCTCAGCTCAGTAACGACCGGAGGCCATGTTCTTCTAACCCTGTTCTCTTTCTTGATTATAGGGGGCCACCCTCTGGACACCCCACACCTTCCACAGGATCTACTGCCAGGATTCTCAAAAGATATCAGTAAGGATTCTGTGGCCTTTTCTAGAGAGACCTAGGTGGGTGGAAAGTTGGCTGGGACATTGGCAGAGAAAATCACCCCTCTGAGTGTACCCCAGAGTCGCTGGTAAGGAGTTTGTAGCTAAAAAAAATGTCTTCCTCAGTTTCCCCTGAAGCCTGACACACCACTTTTCTCTCCTTTGAGACAAAGTACTAAAATCTCCTGCCAGAGGCCAAAGGTTGTCTGGAAGGGGAGACCAGGAGAAGGAAGCAAAAGGACTGAGCAGAGGACCCCCTGGTGACTGTATTCCAGCTGCAACCTGAGCTCAGGACTTTCTGGAAGGCAGGGCAGCAATAGATAGCGATACATTCATTGCCGCTGTGCGAAGGAAGGAAGGAAACTTCATGGTTCCCTGAGGGAGAGCACGTTTCCCGGTGACAGTGGAGAGGTAGCTCCCATGCCTTCCTGCGGGGGGAGGGGTCATTGAAGAGCCTCACCCGTAGGGACCTGGGGGTGATCTTAACCCTGAGTAGAGTGTTTGTTCCTGATCTTGGGAGAATCGGCCCACTCTTGCTGGCTTGAGGCAACCAAAGTATTTGTGCACAAGCTCATGAGCGCCGTGATCATCCCTGCACCATCCCAGGTGGCACGACGTCCCGGAGAATGCTGTGCTCGCAAGGGTGCCCTTCAAGCAGATGTTTAGGCTCTCAGGCCACACCTGGCACACCGAAGGGCCAAGGCCAGAACGCACAGCGGGCAGCAAGCCACGGCTCCAGGCCTTGTCAGCAAGAGCGGCCCTGGTGGTTACTGAGAGTCTGTCTCTACCAGTCCTGACACAGGTTCCGCTCCAGGGGTCTTTTTTATTTATTTATTTAAATATTCAACCACCCTGTCTAGTCATCAGGTCATCAGATCAGGTTTCCATGGCAACTTATGTTACTAGAAACTCAGCCCCAGGTCAAATCCACCCTTTGAGAAAAAGGATCCAAATGATTCCTCTTCCTCTTACCCCACGGGGCAGAGGTGAGCCTTCATGCTCTCCAGTGTATTTTCTTTCCTTTTTTTTTTTTTTTTTGTCAAGATATATATTTTATTTATTTATGCATACAAGAACTGGAGTACAGGCCAGAGGTGACAGGACAGGGGACAGTGAGAGGAATCAGCAGAGACAGAGTGGGGAGCAGAACAGGTGGATCCACTGAAACACACCGCTGAGGGGAGCTGGTGGTAGCCTGAAAGTGCTGAGATTTAACCCCTGCACCATCAGGGAGGCCCTGATTTCTTTTCTTTTCTTCCTCTTAGACGTCACATTCTTAAATGGAGTGTTTAAAAATGTGGAAAGCGTGGCTGAAATTTTTGGTAAGTTGCATCCGAGACTGGGTTTCCCCGCAGCTGTGTCAGGACTTGCGTCCAGGCGGGGAGCTGGCAGGATACAAACGGCCAGTTGAGGCGGTGGAGCCTACGAGGGCTCAGTGACAAGGCCACAGCTACAGGACAATGTCTCCTCTGAGCCCTGAGCTTAGTCTCCTTACATCAGAGTAATTTTATGTTTTTCCTCACAATTAGTGAGCATAGCTAAGTCCTAAGCGTCCCAAAGGGTGTCAGGGTAGCTGGTGTGCCCTTGTCGCCTGCAGAACAGCACGGTGACCCCCAGCTTGGATTATGAATGTAGCCGACAGGTAAGACCCGAGCAAGTCCGACAGCAGCAACATGATTCACGAGCAGCTGGATCCCGCATCGCTGAGTGTACGGAGTTCTGCAGACGTCTGTCTGCATGATGACGTGTGGGCGTCCTGGGCGTTTTGGGGTGAAAATGCATTTGACACACACACACACACACACACACAAGCAAGTGTGTTTTCAGCATTGATCTGTTTCTTCATGTTTCCGAATAGACTTTGTGGAGACAAAGGGTGGGCGAGGGCAGGAGAATGTGGTGGGAAGAGGAAGGGGCGCAGTGTGGAAAGGGCGTCCCACAACGCCGAGCCTCCGTGTTCCCTCATGGCGCCCTGGGCCCTGGCGCCGGGGTAGCGGGGCCCTGTGGAGCAAGGCGCTGTGCTCCAGTCCCAAGCAGAGCGTGGAGAGCGCAAGCCTGAGAGCCAGTGCGAAAAGTGGCGCTACCCTCGTGCCAGTTGTTGGCCACGGCATATTTCCTTCGGGCAAGTCACGGTCCTGGTGCACGCCTTGGGCCTGTCTCTGGCCTTCTGCTTCTTTACCCGGGAAACAGAGCTGCTAGAAGACCACTTCTCTGGCAGCGTGAGCGCGAGGTTGATGGGACAGCAGACCAAGTGAATTCTTTCTGAAGCATCACGTACTTCGCTGATGTGACTGTGGTTGTGCTGCCTAAAGCATGTGGAGAAGTTTCTGGAATACAAGTACTCAAAATCTGTGAGAGTCGAACCCCCTCCCTTCCTGCACTGGTTTTAGTTCCTAGTATTGGGACTGTATCCTCTGGAATCCCTGCATCACATTGATCGTGATGTGGATAATGAAGACCTTGGAATATTTTACAGAAGTGTCTGATGGCAGCAGGCCTGGTGCGGCAGCTCCACACAGTAGGCAAAGACCCGCAAGGTCACGCCATCCTGCTCCACTGCTCACTGGGGATACTGGTTTTTCAGCTTTAAACCAGGGCCTCATGGTGACAGGGTGGCTGCCGCAGCTCCAGCCAACCTAGCCTCACCCACATTCCAAAGGGAAGGTGTAGAGTAAAAAATTCTTCTGACATTACAGAAGACCTCTTTGAATGCCTTGGCTCCTTGACAACAAAGGCTGTGCTCCCCAAAACTCTGCTTCTCTTCCTTGCATTTCCACACATGAGAGTGTGTAAATATAACTGGTTTCCTGTCCTGCTCCACTCAAGAACCTCAAAGAAAGATCTCACTGTATCATTTCTTTATTAGGAAACTAGTACTTCCCCAAAGCCTCTAGCAGATGCCCTCGTAAGCTGCCATGACCAGACCTGGGTCCCATTCTCAGCCCCAGATCAGCCACTGTCAGGGAGACATGCTGAGAATGACCAGGGAACACCCATTTATTTATGCATATAAGAGCCTTGGTGCAGGGCAGAGGTGCAGGGGTGAGGGGAATCACCAGAGACAGAGGGGAGCAGAGCAGGCGATCTATTAAAATACACTGCTGAGGGGGGCAGTGGGCGAGACAAGAGATGTCTGCTGCACCATGTGGGTCACCTCCCTGGCCGGGGATCCAACTTACACCACAGTGACTGACAGTAGCTTAAAAGCATTGAGACTTTCCCCTATGCAACCAGGGAGTCCCCCACTTTTCTACTTAATAAGAAGGCAGAGGTAGCTGTTAGTTGGGTGACCACAGGGCCCATGGTCAAGGTAGATAACCTGCCTTCTTCAATTGCCAGGAATAGTCCTTAGAAATAGGAAACAGATGTGTTTCATCTTCCCAAGGTGTATGAGTCCAGAATGGGGGCTCCCTCCTCACTGGACCTCCCCATGCTCACCTTGCCCCCCTCCTCACAGACTGCCTGGGCTCCCACTTGACCTGGCTGCAGGCTGTCTTCACCAACTTCCCTGCCCTGCTCCAATTTGTGAATGGTATGAAGTGCGTGGCTGGTCTCTGCCCCCGGGACTTTGAAGACTACGGCTGTGCCTGCAGGTTTGAGATGGAAGGGCTGCCCGTGGACGAGACTGACAGGTGAGCCAGGGCAACGGGTGGGCACGCAGAGGCCCGGCTGACACATTGACAGGGCACGGGCTCCGAGAGCCTGCACTGAGGGCGTGTGTGGTGATGTCTGCGCCTCGTGTCGCACCCTGGGGTGGCCGCGCTCCTCATCTCTGCGGCATCTGTAATGTGCTTGTGTTCTAAGGGGTCATCAAGACCTGTCTTACAGCCACGCTACAGAGCTTCGTTTTAGTGTTTCTCAAATTTTGGGCCAACCGTATCGGAATGACCCAGTGCTCATAGAATCCAGATACCAGGGCCCCACTGTGAGTTGTGAAACAGACCACTGCCAGGAGCCACCCAGAGACCAGACGCTCATGGGTCGCCTGCTTGTCGCCTCACCCTGACCCGTGCTGCCACCCAACCCTGCCTGCACCCACAGCTGCTGCTTCCAGCACCGCAAGTGCTATGAAGAGGCCGCGGACACGGGCTGTCTCCAGGACCCCACCAAGCTCAGCACAGACATCAGTTGCGTCAGCAAGAGGATCACGTGTGGTGAGCCCCCCCAGGGCCCTAGGTGGGGGTGGGGAGCTGAGGCTCCCAGGATCCTCCTCATCCTCATCATGCGACACCAGCAACTCTGCAAAGACCACGGCCAGGACTATGCATCTGCACCTGGCGGACAGTGGATGCGCAGCAAATGCTTTCTTGAATCAAACCAGTAGCTATCAGCAGATTGTTGGGTGTATGATTCTCCACTGTAGCAACCCTGGGAGCTTGGGAAAGGCTAAGAGGCTGTTATTTAAGCACTGCGTGATGGAGAGGTGGTAATTTTATTCCTCCTCAGAACCTCAAAATGGAGAGGAGAAAATCTGCTTCAGAGCTTGGCTCTGAAAATTAAATCAAACAATGATTACATGAAAATGATGTTACATGTAATCAGTTCGATGCAGTCCAGGTTAGTGAAGTGATGGCTGTCGGTTAATGCAAGACTGACGAGCTAGGACTCAGTGGTGGAGGAGGAGTGGATGACCGTGTTTGGTTATTGCTTTTTGTGAGGATTGAACACATGTCGGTCCCACCTCAGCACCCCAGGCACCTGCCATGGACTCCTGGAACTTTAGCTCATGTCTCCAGGCCACCCGGGCACAAATGCAGACCAGGCAAAGCCCAGGGGTCGAGGGCACGAGCCGGGACCGGCCCTGCCCGCCTTTCCCAGAGCCTGGTCTATGTGGCCAGCCTGGCACATGGCAATGCTGGTCTCCCCACAAACCGGATTAGCTGGGGGCTTCCATGGAAGTTTCCAGACAAGGAGAGGAAAGAGCAGAGAGAAATTAAATAAACTCCTTCTGCCATGTAGCTGCCGAGTCACAGAGTCAGAAATTTGACTCCAAAGCCCAGGTGACGTGGAATTGGAGGCATCGGGAAAGGCTTGGGGTGAAGAGGGGAGTGAGCTCGGGAGACACCATTCATTCACTCACTCCTTGACCCACCCAACAGATACACACTGAGCACCTACACCAAGACAAGCTCCACAGCCCTTGGTGTTGGGCTGTCCTGACCTTGTAGAATTTCTTCGGTACACTAAAAACATCAAAGACGCAGGATGTAGTATACTAGATAATGGCGAGTGCCGGTGGGGGAAAGACATCAAGGAGAAGTCATGGGGGCGTGGGGGTGCAGAGGAGGGGCACTGGGTGCGATGAGAGGGCAGAGAGGGCTCCTGAGGTGATGCTGAGTAAAGAGAGAACCCGGGAAGCAAGCCCGTGACTCCAAAACGCCAGTGTAGACGGAGGACACCCCATGTGGGTGGGCCCTCAAACTCGGTGTCTTGTGTTGGCAAACAGGGACCTGTGGGATAGAAATTGGTTGATGAGGGAGGAGGCAGGGGGCAGCTGAGAAGGAACTGAGCAGGGCAGTGGTTTTGTGTTGAGTTGGGAAGTTGTTGGAAGGCTGTGGACGGACAGACAGACAAGGGAATTTCTACATAATTTTTCTGGCTCCCCCTTGAGAGCAGACTGGCATCAGGGAGACAAGCTGGGAAGACGGTGACATAAACTGGGCAAGAGGGAAAGGCTGGGCCGGGAAGAGGTCGAGGTAGGGGTGTGGTCAGGTGGGAGAGAGGTGGGGAGCAGAGCCCTGGGTGGGCTGAGGCAGGGGGAGCGCAGAGGCAGCAGTAGGCTGTCCCAGGCCCAGGACGCTCCAGGAGAGGCGGGGACACGAGTGAGTGAGATGAAGCCCGGAGAGGAGCTGGCCCGGGCGGGCAGGCTGTGCAGGCAGCTCCCAGGCGCCAGGGGAGAGCCGCCGCCAGCCTGTTCTCGCCCCGCAGAGTCCAAGGACCCTTGCGGGCGCCGGCTGTGCACCTGCGACAAGGCTGCCCTGCGGTGCCTGGCGCGGTCGCGCGTCAACTCCTCCCTGAACCTCCTGGACACCTCCTTCTGTCTGCCTCAACCTCCAGGTAAGAGGAGCCTCTTACCTGGCAGTCTCTTCAGAAGCCAAGTTCAGAACCTTCCCCAGCACCCCAAACCCACCACTCTGAACGATGTGTTTCCTTCTCAGAGACAACCAGCGGGATTGAGCTGACCACAGCACTGCCCCCAGGTGGGCCTCCAGGGAGCGGCTTTTCCTGGGACCCCTGGGGCCGACCGTCCTATGCTGCTTCATGACAGTTACGCATGTGGAGAGAAGTGTGGTTGTGTGGGCGTGAGGGGGTACAGTCACGAAAACAGCGGCTCAGTCTGCTCCCCGCTGGGCCTCCCCCCACCCCGGGCCAAACTCCCTCAGCGTCGCCTGACCCCAGGGGGATGGGAGCTGCTGCTCTGGGCCCGTGACCAGGGCCTGGGCCTTCCAGTGACTCCACCGCTGAGTCCACCCTGCACGGGTCTAATGCCGACGCCATCCTGCTGTGTGGACAGACCTGTGGAGGGCGCTGTGAGTTCTCTCTCTCTCCTTCCTGCCCCTGTAGCGGGTCTGCACTGCCCAGGCAGGGTCAGCGCCCCACGGAGCCGGGCCCCGGACCGTTGGGCGAACTCCTGGCCACCGAGGCCTCCCGGCAGGCCCCTGCTTGCTTCCTCCTCTCCCCTCTCGCCTCCCCCACTCAGCATCCAAAGGGGAAGCTGCTTTCTGTGTCTCCTCAGGCCAGGTCGGCCCCTCACAGGAGTCCACTGAGTGTCAGCTGCTCTGAAACGGGCGCCCGGTGGAGAGAGAGCTGGGGTCATGCTGCCGTTCCTGTCTCACCAGCACCCCCACAGCCGCTCCCTCTCAGCGGGGGGTGCTGGGTGGGAAGAACAGGTGCCCCTGGCCGTCCTCCTCCTTTGCTGGCGCTGGGGCCTCCTCCTCGGAACTGCTCCCACAGCGTCCGTTCAAGAGGGCGCTGCTGTGGGTGTGTGGTTGGGCATGTGTGGGTGTGAGTGTGCATGGTGTGGGTGCAGGCATGTGTGTAAGGGGGCGTGTGCACACTTGTGAGACCGGGGGTGCACACCCTCTCTCCACCTCTCCTGCCTCCTGAGACCAGCCTTCCTTCCTCTCTGCCATCCTGCCTGCTGGGGGCTGAAGTCTGCTTAAGCTCCCGCACTCTGCAGTCCCAGCCTTTCCTGGCCTCCAGCCTGTGTCTGGCAGCCCCATGGAGTCCCTCCGAGTCCCTGCTGGGGAGTCCCTGCTGAGCACCCCTGTGTTCCGGGAGGTGTGGGAGCGTCCCGGAGCCCTCAGACACGTGTGCCGCAGCTGTCGGGCCCGTGGCGCCTCCCCCAGACTCTTCTCCTGAGGCCAGCTGTACCGGCCCGCGCACTGACACCGTGGTCCATTAGTCATTGCCTTGGGGTCTCTCTCTTTCCAGTGGTGCCCATGGAGTCCACGGACGCCAGCCTGGTGGCCCTCTCAGGAGAAGGTGAGCGTGAGGGGACTGACGTGCAGCCAGATACCTGCACTTTGATGGCATCAGCGGCCGATGGGCCGGCATCAATTCCTCAAAGATGACCTGGCCTACGTCTGCAGAACCACCTCATGTACATTCCAGAGTCTCTTCTGGCTCTTCTTGACCCCGAACCTCTTCCCTACCTACTCAGCTTCCCGCATGTTCCTGTTCCCCCCCATACCCCCCACCCCCCGGATTGCCAGGTAAAATGCAGGATACCCACCTCCACCATCCAGCTGAATTTCAGATGAACAGCAAATAGCTGTTCAGTGTGGCCCGGACTCCGCATGGGGCATTCTTAGACTAAGAAGTTGCTTGCATGTCAGCCCCATCTCCCTGGGCGCCTGTATCTTTATGGCTACGTCAGGGGGGCCCCTGGATGTGTGTTGTTTTCTCTGCTGCTGTGAGCACAGAGGGGGAGCTCGTGGGACAGCGCACCCCTGACCATCCTCCAGTTCCAGGGCGGCCCATCCCCAAGCTGCCATGGGGTCCGGGAAGAGAGAAGGCCCCGCGCAGAGCAGAGCAGAGCCTGCCATGAGCCCTGCCCCACCGCAGCGTGATGGTCGGTGCCCACATCCACACCAGGCTGAGGATAGGCAGCCAAGTTCCTGCCCTACTGGCCAATCACAAATCAGCCCAAATGGGGCTATTCTCCGCTTCCTCCAGCTGGAGCCACTACCTTTGGCAGGACCCCAGGAGCATGCACAGGGGTGTGAAGTGTGGCTGGAGTGTGTGGACACGCTCACACCTTCGCCCCTCCCCCCATGACCCGACGGTGCACACGCTTGCCCCCCAGAGGACGGGCGGCCTGTGCGGGGCCAGACCCATCCGTCTGCAGCACGAAAGCCCCCGGGCTTGTACATGTCTCCACGGCCGCGGACCAAACAGCATGTGCTGGAGTCAGGCAGAGGTGGGGTCAAAACTGGCCCCCCGTATTTCAGCTGTGCTACATGGGAGCCCCGTCCACCCTCCCTAAGCTTAGGTTTCTTCGCTTGCAGAAAGCCGGAACCAAGGATTGGCAGGTGTTTTCTGTAAAGGGTCAGAGAGTGAATCCTTCAGGCTTCGTGGCCCACAGGCCTTTGCGAATCCTACACTCTGCTCTCCTAACAGGGAAACAGCCGCCAGGCAGACAGCTCCCAGCCAGATGGGCGTGCCAGCCAAATGTTATCTGCAGCAACAGACGAAGGGCTGGACCCTAGTTTTGCCAACCGCTGGAAAGGGTGGCGGAAGTAATACATGAGAGAGCCTGGGAAGATTCTCGACCAGGACTTTCTTCCAGATACCCCGCTGTGGCTGTAACAAATAGTATTCCCCATCAAACCAGATGCAGCCCAGTGGGGGACTGGCTCTTGTGCAGTCTCACTTAATGCTCACGCGTGAAGGTCACACTGTCACCTCCATGGTAAGATGGTAGCTTGAGAGGGAGGCAGCAGTCGTCACGGACACACAGCTGGGAGTTGACTGGGACTTGGGGCTTCGATGTGTCCGTCCCTGATTCCAGACTGAGCTCCTTACGCTGCTCCTCCCTGCCATGGGTGGCGCCAGCCAGAGGCAATACTGGTTCTTTCTCCCAAGCAGATCAGTTTCTGGTCTCTTTGCCTGAACTCGGGACCGACCCTAGCCAAGTGGCCCCTTGGCACTGAATTGGGGCCTCACTGGACACCAGTGTTCAGCCATATTGGCAAAAGCCTTCTCTTTGGTCCCCAAACCTCGGTCATCTGCAGTGGCCTTGCCAGGCTCAGGTGCTGAGCTGGTTGGGGAACTGAAATGGGACTGTTTCTTTTCACAGTGGCCATAGAGACCAGCCCAGCCCGACTGACCACACTGCCCAAGACAAGTAAGCCAAGGGGTCTTTGGAGCAGAACTTGGACTCCGGTGGGAAATGTCATCTAAATATGTGTGCTGGGTTCTGGCCACCGCTCATAATGGTTCCTGCAGGAGCCAGTCTGTGGATTGTGTGGTAAACAGGTTCTGGGAGCTTAAAAGTCCAGCTCATTCAGCCACGTGCACTGGTCACTCACCTCGGCCTCAGGCTGAGAACTGGTTTTCTTCCCATTGTACAATTGACTCATGAAAAACAGCCAATCCCCAAAAAAGCCCGGGTTGAGATGTTATCAGTGTGCCTTAGTCACTCTGTTTTGTGACTAGCCACAGCTTCTTGACTGGTAAGTACAGATCGCTGGGATGACTGCCTAGTCATTGCTGAGAGCGAGCGAGTGGACAGCAATTCCTTGGTCAACAGCCAACGTGAGGACCTCAAGGTGCTGCCTGTCCGTGAGCGCCTGGCCTCTGTGTCATCCCTCTCAGGTCCTGGGGCTCCCTGCTCCCCCATGTAGCAGATGCAGGACAGCTGCAAGCAATAATGGCTGGAGAGAAGAGGTTAGGGGAGGACAGTTTAGTATTTCTTTAGTCCTGATTCTGTACGGTTTGCCTCTGAAGAGAGCCATCAGCCCAGGTTAGAGCTGTACAGATTCTCAATTTATGGCATATCAAGAGTGTCTGAAACCCCGATTTTGACTTAACGCCATCATCACCTTGACCTTTGACACTGACTAAGGCAGTTCCCTCTTGTGGAGTGTAACCTGGAACTGCCCTCTCCAGCACTCTGTGCTGAGCCAGAAGTGAAATCGGGGTGCTTTGCTGAGGAGATCAGCGGTAGCCAGATGGCCTGGGCTGGCTTCCTGCTGCTCCTCGGATCCATGACCTTGAACAAGCAATTTAGCTCTTTTCTATGTGGCCTTCCTGTTCTCTGAGCGAGGAGGCTGAGTGTAACTCCACCCCGGGGGTTAGTAAGAAACCCGCTGAGCGCAGTCTCCGCCGTGTAGTACATTTGAGTCCATTCCGGCTTGTAAACCACAGACGTGTTTCCCGTGGTTCTGGAGGCCGGAAGTCCAAAGTCAGGGGACCAGCATGGGTCCCATTTCCTTGTTCCCAGGCGGCCATCTTTCCCCTATTACCTCACATGATGAAAGCGGGGTTCTCTCTTGTAAGCACGCTAATCCTATTCTGGAGAGTTCCCCTTGTGACCTGGGCACTTAGCAGAGCCACAGCCCTCACACCAGCTACTGGATGTTGGTCTCATGTGAATTCTGTAGGACAAAAATACTCATTCTGCAGCGCTGCAGAGACTTGATTGTTGTCAAACAACATCACACTCATTCAAAGCACCTGAGGCTCAGCAGCCTTCCAGAGCCACATCGTACTCACCTGGAATCGTACAGCTGCTGCCTCATCTTCTCTGTTCAAAAAAAGTCAAATTACTTTTATTCTTTTCAAATTCTAAAGAGGTTCCCTACCCCAGAGTATCTCGCCAGCTCCGGCGGGCATGGTGCAGGTGTGACCGCCAGCAGGGCGGACTGGGGGGCTTGCCTGCGACCCCCCCGTTTCCAGTGCTCCCGGAGTGGTCAGTGGGAGAGGCTGGCGACACTCACTCTGTCTCGCTTCTTTTGGGGGCAGGAGGACCGAGCCAAGGCAGGGAAGATGGGGGGGCCGCCCGGGCCACACCAGCACCAGGTAAGCTCCCTTGGGCTCCCCAGCGTTTAAGTGGCCCCGAGACTTGGGTGCAGTCAGGCGAGTGGGGAAATGGGAGAATCCAGTGGGTCCTCTTGCCTTGACCCTGCCACCCTGCCAAAAGCAGACAAATGACGCTGAGACACTGCCAAAGAGAGACACTTAGAGAAATAGAAGAAGCTATATTTGGATTCCTATTTAAATAGTCTGAATCCTACATCATAAACTTTTAATATTTGCAGATTTCTCTCCCTGACCTTCACGCCTCACCCTCTTAGCAAAACACATCACGGTCCTTAAGTGTACGTGGGGGCCCTCGGCGGCCCTGATCTTGTCAGCTGAATTGGGCCACTCAGTTAGATGGGAGGGTGTTCTGACATTCAGTATTTTCCTGTGACAAACTTTCAGTGACGACCGTCACTCCTGGTATGGAAGCTAGTGACTTATTGAACCTGTTCGTTCTGATCTTTGCTGTTATAAATGATAGACATGCACTTTCTTCGTGCCCACCCATCTGATCAAGCAACCAGGATGAGGCTTAGAACTTGAAGTTCTGGGTACACGGTGCGGTCAGTGTGGGGCCCTCTCTGTGTTACCAGATTGTCCTAGAGAAAGTGGAACCGGTCACACATTCCTGAAGCAGAAAACAAGAAAATAAAAAGCCTCTTTTCCTTTTAATAGGAAAAGGAAAAGGCAGCCACTTCCTCCTTTCCCCTCTGACGAAGCTTGAGAGAGGTGCGTTAGTACCTGGCCTCTCCCAGGGCTGCTGGACCAGGCCTGGGCAGAACCCACAAATCCTGGGCAGAACCCACAAATCCTACACATTGAGGGTGTGTGCTCTGGGAAGCACTGGACCTCTGGGTGCAGGAGGCGAGGGGCAAGGAGAGACTTCAGAGGAATCGCCTCCCCAGACCAGATGCCCCTATCTAAGGGTGGGGCGCAAAGAATCCGGAAGGTTCTTCCTCAGGGAGGGTAGGGGTTTCACGCAGGAGGCAGCTTGCCTAGGAAGCTCCATCACTTGTAGAACTTTCAGCTGGAGCATCCCCCATCTGGGTGTGATGTACAAAGGTTTTCACACGCACCGAGCGACGTCAGGTGCACTCGGGAACGCGGTTCTGGGCACTGAGCTAGAAGCACTAGTCAAACACCAGCCCAGTCATTAATGACAGGATTTCACCCCATCATAAGAAATAAGAGAAAATGAGGCAGAAAGGCAAAGTGACTTAGCCACCGTCATCATCTAGCCTGTGGCTGAGCTGAGCTCCCTTTACCTGTGTTCTTTTGTTCCTTGCCTTCTACAGCTCTGGCCCAGTGAATTCCCTCTATCAGAGAAAAACAGGTGCTGTGACAGGAGGCAAGACAGACTTTTTTTTTTTAAGTTGAAGGGGGACTTGCTGGGGAGAAAGCCTGGGAGGGATAAAAGGAAGAGGGGGAGGCAGTGCAGCCCACAACACCCAGTCTAGCTCCAAATGTCTTTTGAGTGTCTTCTGTGTGGGGCACCTGAGGCTGGCTGTCCTGGGTCTGACAGGAAAGGCGGCAAAGCTGGCTTTGGCAGGTGGAGGCTCAGTGCAGTCCAGTCTGAGAAGTTGGGCTGGTGCCTGTGAGGAGCTGGGGCTGGCTGGGGTGGGGTCGTGGCCACAGGTGGTGGGAGAGAGGGAGAGAGGAGCAGATCCTGGAGAAGTAGAAGCTGGAGTATTCGGGAGTTTCTGCAGCTCCCCAGGCCTCTCCTGTCCTTCTGCCCCCAGGCATTCACCAGCAAGCCTCCCTCCGCTCAGGAATCCCCTCTGGGGGCCCTGGAGAGCAAGACAGAGAGCTTGTGCCTCTGTACCAGGAGAGACTTCAATATAAATGGAGCCGGCTCCATCCCTCAGGGGTGCCCTGGTGTTTCAAGGGGAGAAAGGAGGAGTGATGGGGGTGCGGGGCTAGCTAACAGGGGCTCCAGCAGGATGGGGCAGCATGACCTTCCGGAAGTCAGGTAGGAGGCAATGTTGCTTTTCCTCACATTTTATTAATTTACTAGATTGTTTACATAACTACTTAATTTGGGGGTACATTTTCACTCCTCCACATGTTCACGTGCTTCACTTACCAGCAAAGCCCCACTGCCACAGCCCTCTCCCTCCCGTCCCCCTCTCCTAGTCCTCCTCCCTCCCCTCACCCCTTCCTCCCCCCTGCACCCCCTCTGGTAACCAGTGTATTTCTCACAGCGTCTAAGAACTACTTGTGTTCTGCCAGTTTGTTCGCTTTGGATATTTATATTCTGCAAATGAGTGAGACCATCCGGTAACCGTCTTTCGCTTTCTGACTGACTTTGCTTGGCATCATCACCTCAAGATTTACTCTTGCTGTCCTAAAAGGCACCATTTCCTTTTTATAAATAACTGAGCAGTATCCCATTGCATGTATGTGTTCCACAGTTTTGTTTTCCAGTCTCTTGGGGCACTTGGGTTGGTTCCACGCCTTGGCTTTGTAGTAAGGCGCCATCTTGGTTTGCCTCTGTCTTAGGTGTGTTTTTGCCTCTGTCAGTGTTTTCACCACCTTTGGACAAATATCCAGCAGAGCTGGACAAATCCCCAGCAGAGCGTACCCAGGCGAGGCAAGTGGAGGCCCAGCCCCGCTCCTGCCCCACTGGCCTGAGGGCTGAGAGAGCTGACAGGGCCCAGATGCAGGCAGCAACCACCCCAACATGGCGGGTCACGCAGAGGCTGGGCAGGGGCTACCGAGGCTCCCTTTATCTGGCCTGGGCTGCATCTGGCTGGTGGGCTGTGACGGGAGACTTCTGCATCCAGCTAAGGGGGCAGGTAGAACCAACACAGGGGAGCAAAGACAGACTCAGATGGTGCCAGTGCCTGGGAGCTGGTGCAGGGAGGCAGCAGGTCAGAGGCTACTTTCCACATCAGGACCTTTCACTGCCTCAGTCTGGTGAGAAGCTGCTGCAGTGCTCTGAGTAGTGCAGGGCTGAGGAGCATGAGGGGCGCTGAGAGTTGTGAGGCGCACTGAGGAGTGTGAGGGGGGCTGAGAGTTTTGAGGGGCACTGAGAGTTGTGAGGGGCAATGAGGAGAGTGAGGGGCGCTGAGAATCGTGAGGGGCGCTGAGAGTTGTGAGGGGCACTGAGGAACATGAGGGGCGCTGGGGAGCTTGAGGGGCACTGAGAGTTGTGAGGGGCACTGAGGGGTGTGAGGGGGCTGCATTGTTGTGGACCAGAACTGGCTCCATCGCTCCCCATTCTATATCTCCTCACTGTGAGCCCCAGAGGGGCCTGCAGGGCAGGCGTGTCAGGGAGGTGTGGGGGGCTGAAGTGGCTTTGTCCACCAATCGTCCTCCGGAGACTCTGGCCAACTTTATGGTTCTTGTAGAGAACGGGGACGTGCGCAGGTCTTGGACCCCCAGCCTCGGCCCTGCAGGCTGCAGCCCCCCAGGGCCCTCTTGAATATTCTGCTTGGAAATCCCCATCTGCATTTGGTTTTGACCGTGTGTCCACCTGAAAATCTACTCTTGAACCCCTTTTTGAACACGGACCATAAAATCATATTTTCAGGATCTGCAGAGGTAGTTGCCACGGCAGAAGGGGTGACTGTCGCCCCCACCAGCGTGAAGTCTTTGGGGGTGTCCAGGTCACCTGCCAAAAGCCGTCCTGAGGAGACAACTGGCAAAGGTGAGTGAGAGCAGGCAGCAGAGGGGAGTCCTCTCCAGTCTCGGGGTGCTGGGCCTCAGCCCACAGAGCCCCTTAGGCCACCCACCATGCTGTGACCTCGAGTTCTTGGGGCTTGTCAGCACCCCCTGCTGGATGCGCATATTGGGGCAGAGGGAGACTGACTTGCCTGTAGCCTCTCAGCTGGGAAACTGAGCTCTCATCACCTTTATTTGCCTAGAAGAATGGAGCTTGGCTTTGTCCACATCGTGCTTAGTTGGTAAAATGAAACAACGCTTGGGTTTTCCTAATCCTCCTTTGTCTCTCCACCTGGGGTGCCTTAGTCCAGGCCCCGCACCTGCCTGGATCACAGCCCTCTGGACACAGAGGGGGCCTCTGTCTGGTCCAGTGCACCGTGGTATGTGATGCCGAGTGTGGAGAAAGCTGCTTCTGAGAGGGACGCTGGGCCTCTGGCCCCTCAGTTCCTCCCCCACTGCACTACAATGATGGGGTTACACAGCAGACTTCAGAGGAGGGGAGACAGAGAGGCGGGGGGGGGGGGCAGAAAGCGCAGCGGCCAATCAAGCATCCTGCAGGCAGATCCTGCCAGGTGTGCTCACCTGGTGGGGCCAGGAAGTCTATGGGGAAAGCCAGGACCCCCCAGGATGCTGGGCCATCCCAGGGCATCTTCACCCCAATTTCTGAGGGAGGGTTAACAAATAGTCTGAGCAGAGAGGTAGAAACCTGGGATTAAAAATTTACTGTTTGAAAGATATCCCATCCCGGACAGGGCTCAGCTCGTGACAGCTACCTGGGGGGAACGATGCTGGGAGGCCGAGGGCTGGCGCCCCCCTGTGACCCCCTGCCCACTTCCCCTGCCCTCCTGAGAATCATGGTTTCTGTCAGCCTGTGATAGATCCACCTTCCTGCACCTGGGCGGCGGGGACAGCCTGCAGGTGAAGCCGGAGCTCGGGGAGATGCTCTTCTGTCTGACCGCCCGGTGCCCCGAGGAATTTGAGTCCTATGGCTGTTACTGTGGGCAAGAAGGACACGGCGAGCCCAGGGACGCCCTGGACAGGTACGGACAGAGGGTGGCGGCCAGAGGCGCTAATGCCGCCTGCAGAGAGCTCAGAGGCGCCTCCACAGCAGTGTCGGGACTCTCAGAGCTTGTCGCAAGCACACTGCCTCTCACGGGGTCACCACCGTCCACCCGCTTTCTGCCTGAGCAGCGGAGGCCCAGAGGCTGACTGGTCTCCGACTCTGGCACGGAGAGGCAGAGCCGGACCTTTGGACGTGAGTGGACTTGCACCTTTGCTCCCAGCTGCCGGCCAGGGCCTCCACGGACACTCCAGGAGCCCGGCGCCTGCTGCTCTGCAATGAGCAAGATGGAGAATCGGGGTCTTGAGGTCATTTTTTCCCTGCAGGTGACCACATTGAAACTAGCGCCTCAACTCTGAGATATAAGGTGTGAGATACGCATAACCAGGTATTTTGGGAGCAGTTTTTACAGACAGTTTGCCAGCTACCTTCCTTTTAAAAGTGCTGGATTTTCAGTCTGCGGCTCTAGAGGATGGCACAGACACGTGCCCTCACCAGCTGCTGTTCCCGTAGATGTGCATCAGCCCACACTTGCCTCGCCTTCCCTCCTGGGCAGCTTCCACCTGGCAGAGACTCAAAGTCCCACCGCAGCACCAAAACACAGCCGTGTCCCAGGGCGAAGGAGCTGGAAATGAAGCCAGACGCCAGGACAGTGAGTGTGGGGGAAGAAACGGAGGCCGAGGTGAGGCCCCAGCCTGGACTTGTGTTTGAGGAACATCCATCTGGCAGTGGCTTGAGAAGCCGCACAGCCTGGCTGAGTGGTGTATGTGTCCGGCCGGCCGGCAGGCGGAGCGTTTTTTGCTGGAGGGCGTCGCGCCCCTGGGGGGGGGGGGTGGCTGCCAAAGGGGGCGGCAGAGGAAACTGGAAATCAAGGCCGGGAAAGACGGGCTCACTGGCGTGACACAAGCACACGCCAGTGGCCGCCAGAGGAGCCGAGAGCCGGGCGGGCTGGACGCGTCTGGTCTGGGCTTCGCCAGCCGCGCTCGCCGCCGCCAGCGTCCCTGCGGGCCGCCAACCCCGCCTGCCTCCGCGCAGACCCCGCAGGCCTCGGCCGCGCCTTCCACACGCACCGCCGCCCTGACGCTGAAGTCCTATTTCCAGCCCAGGGCAGCCCACCCCGAGCAAAGCGAGCAGCTTACACTTCAAAGGTCCGCCTCTGGCCTCCAGTGTCCAGACAAAGGACTATATGGCGCAGAATTCTGGACCGCACAGCACAAAAGATGAAAGATAGAAATCTGTGCTTTGTGGGGCCCCAGGGGAAGAAAGTGGGGAAGCCTTTGAAGAGGTGTCCTGGCCACAAAAATACTGAGGATTGGTCTTGCAGGAGGCTAAGTTTCGACGCCCGAAGGAAGGCACAGGAAGCCGAAACCCAGGAACTGGCTGAAGAGCGGCAACCTGATGACTCAGGCTAGGGGGTCGTTCAACACCCAGCTGCTTCCCCTTTGGGAGTTTTTACATTTTTCAAGAGGGTTTAGAGCATAGGTGATCGCCGATTCACTCACTGACGTTAGGTTTTAGCCACTGTATCAACCCTCATCCCAGCCAAAGGAGGCTGAGAGAGAGAGAGCCCGGCCCTGCTGTGAAGGCCGCTGAAGGGGGCTGCCCTTCAGGGCGGGTGTCCAGCCGCTGGGAGTGCCCGCTGGAGCCGGGACTTGGAAGGGCTGGCGAACGGGGGCTGGACTGAGCACACCATCCTGCCAGAAAGCCGCCGCGGGGGGTGGCCTCTGCTCAGCCCAGTCTCCAAGACCCTTAGTAAGACCCCCTAGTAAAGGCCCAGGAAAGCTGAAAGGAGAGGATTTGGGGACCAACCCAGAGGCCTTACTGGCAGGCCATCACAAGTTTTCTGGGGGTGCCCACCGGTGGGGATGGTGAGCCCCATTGGAGATGGTGAGGCTTTATCAGGCCAGATGGGCAATCTCAAGAGCAAGATGTGGATTCATTCCTGTTTATTTGCAGAGGCCACTTTGATCTACGCTTTTCTAGATGCAATTTTTATGCTCACTCACTCACCCTGTTCTCTTGGAGGCTGGAGACAAGGGGAGGGGCATCGCAGCCCGTGGCTGGGGGTCAGCCGCTGGGTATGTCAGATGCTGGCAGGAGTGGCCCAGAGGGCACCTCTGTGAAGCTGACAGTAATGATCCTTCCTCAAGACTCTTTACATTCACCCGTTGCAAAATTACTGTAATCATTTTCAATAACCGACCTACAAATTACCCACCTTTGCACTGCACAGAATCCTAATACAACTATAAAAATAATGTAACTGAGGTGCAGGCAGTGTGACTGGCCTGCCTCTGTTCAGTACACAGCCGGAACCACTATATATGATGTCCGTGGGTCTAAATACACACACGTTTATAAATCAGCCCTACGTGATGCATATTCATAAATCAGCTCTCCCTGCGCAGGAAAGGAGGCGCTGTTTTCTTCTCTCCCATAGAGTGGAGGAGAAGCAGGCCCTGAGGGAGCGCCAGGGAACTGGTAGCTGTCAGCCTTACAGGTTTTTCTTGCTTGTAGGTGCTGTTTGTCCCATCACTGCTGCTTGGAGCAGGCGAGAAGGCTGGGCTGCTTGCGGGAGCAGCTTCCTCCGTCCCTGGTGGTGTGCGAGCACAGCACACCCCAGTGTAAGTGTGGGCCTGCCCGGTGCGTGCGTGTTGGCAGCAGGACGCTTTCCGGTGCTGCAGCGGTTTTTATCTGACCTGTGGTTTAATCCTCTTAACTTTGAGAAAGGTTTTGGCACCTGAGCGGCTGCTGATACGTCAGTGGCCAAGAGGGGGCGCCCCGGCCCAGCTCATGCAGAGAGAAGAGGGCTGGGGTTGTCTCCTCCTTGAACTCAGGTCTTCCTTAAGCCAGCAGGGGTCTCCTAAGAAGCAGAAACCCCTCCCGAGGTGAAATCTGGGGAGAAATTCCAGGAAAAGCGAATGGTTCAGGAACGAGAAGAAAGACAGTGTCATGTGGGACAGTTTAAGGACGACAGTGGCTCTGTGTTGTCAGAACAGAAAATGGGGGCTGGAAGGCTGCTGTGGTCTAAGGGGCGCTGGGGAGACAGAGCACACTGGCCATGAACCCAGGAAGACTGGAGTCTCGACATGGTGTCCTGGGGGCCTATAAGCCGGGGTGGACTTAGAGCCCAGGAGATCAGGAGACGGGGTCCTGTCATTACTGTGGCCCGAAGAGGGGCCTGCAGTGGGATCCACCTGCTCAGCCAGATGCCTTCTCCCTTCCTCGGCTCTCACAGAAGTCAGGGACACAGCACTGGTCGTCTGAACCCCTCAGGGCTTCAGTGAACCCCAGCTGATGAGCTGTGAGCTCTGACAGTGCAGGTGGGGCAGGAAGAAATAAAGGAGCCAGGCCAGGAAGGCCCTGGGGAAGCAGGCTTTATGCCTTCGGCTGTTGACCCGTGTGCCTGGGCCTGAGACTGAAGGTGGGGGAGGAGGTTTGGAGGGTTAGTGTGGTCAGATGGTGCTGCCCCGTTTCTTACTTCCCCACCTGCACTGTCAGAGCTCAGAGAGTCAGCTGGGGCTCACCGAAGCCCTCAGGGGCTCAGGCTTCCAAACTTCATGGTTCCGTCAGATGAAAACCACTGACCAGACCAAATCCACCTGTTACTTCATTGCAAACCACAGATAGCAGGATGCGGATGTGTGTGTCACTGTCAACTCATCTTCACACTCATCCTGTTTGAGTCACATGAAGGTCTTCATCTCCATCTCCACTGCCTGCAGCAGAAACCTTCAAGGGATAGATAGGATGGCCAAATCCCGGGGGTGGGTGGGGGGATTGGGGGAGAGAGGGGAAGAAAAGACACAAATTGGAATTTCATGTAAGTAAAAAGTTGTTTGGTCTAAGTATGCTCCAAATGGAGATTCTGATTTGGACATATTTATCTGAAATTTAAATTTAAGTGCACTCCCTGTATTCTGTCTGGCCAAATTAAAATAGAATGGACTAGAATTACTGTTTCTCTTTGACAAATGAGGAACTTTGGCCCAGAGAAGAAACGGTTCAGTCCAACAAATATTTCCTTGGAGGAAACCCAGCGGACACTGTCAAGGACTGCCTTGGGGTGTGCCGCACACGGCCACAAGCTTCTCTGCCCAGCGGCAGGAAAGGTGGACACACAAATGCAATTAGGTGAATGTCATCAACAGGTGATCTGTGGTGACAGAGCAAAGCAGGGGTGAAGTCGAGGGGAGCCCACTGGAAAACCGCTCATTTAGGTTGGGGGATTTGGGATCTGCCCACCTTACCTATTTTTTGGAGTTAACCAGGAGGAGAAATTTAAGCATTTTCTTAGCAGAAGGATGGGCACATTCCTGACGCTAAGTGGCTGCTTGGCCACAAGCCGGTGGGTGCAGGAAAGGGCGATAGGGGCAGTCAGGTGGCACAGAGGCCTTCCTGCGATGCCACCTCTCATTTCCTTCCTCCGCCCCCCTCCCAGGTGTGGGCCAGAGTCTGTGCGCCAAACTGCTTTGTGCCTGTGACGAGACAGCGGCCAAGTGCATGGCCTCCGCCTTTTTTAATCAAAGCCTCAAGTCATCCGGCCCATCCCAGTGCCCGGGCAGCCAGCCCCGCTGTGAGGACCAGGACAGGCTCGGGGCAGAGTCCTCAGCGCCATCACCAGGATCCAGCTCCAGCTCCGAGGACAGCGAGGAAGCCCCGCCCCCGCCCGCCCAGGACAGCGAGGAGGCCCCGCCCCCGCCCGCCCAGGACAGGCGGAGGCCCCGCCCCGCAGGCGGGACCTGAGAGGAGACCCAGGA